CACATATTGGCATCATTTATAGAATCTGTACCGTTCTATGCTAATGTTCACCTTAGAGAATGTTGACTACCAGTGTACATGTTGTTTTGTTGAATGTAATGATTTGAACAATGTGTTACTACGTTCTATAATGAGTCTTGGAGCATATCTATGACCGAAGCACTTTATCAGTAGCTGCTTAAATAAAAAAATTGTTACAAATAGCTCCTCTGCTTAGTCTTTATTGACCCACCACCTTCGAACAACTTATGATGATGGAGGACTAAGTTTGGCATTGAATCAAATGTGGTGGGTCCTGAGATCTGAAACGTATGATCAACATGGATGATGAAGATACAATCAAAAAGTTCGCAGGGAAGCATTCGGACTTCATATTGCCTGAAGGCCTTCTGTGATTCGAATCAAACCTATCTCACTGCTCTCTGTCTCCATATTCTGAATTAGATGGGCCCTTGACTACATCAGAACACTTTGTTTAATTACAGCAAGAGATGCTACTACTTGTACTTTCACAAGAAGCTAGTACCTCTTCTGTACCTACATACAAGCTGTGAACAGTGTAATACATACAGCTTCTAGTCTGTCTGATATCACCAACAGTAGACAATGATACACACACACTGATTGATTGGCCAATGTGTTTTACTCCACAATGAGTCAAGTGACAGGTACAATCTTACACAGGTAGTGTAATATAAATACTGTTGATATGAAATGTTGATGTTGTAATGGAACTACTACTTGTCATGACCAAATGGAACAATTTATAATGATCTCATCATGTATAGGAGAGCATATAAGATTGTGCTCATCTGTCACTCTGTACACTACTCCAGAGTTGCAACTCAACGTGCTCACACAAGCCACTTACAACATGAACCTTTCAACTCGTGCTACTGCAGAACCTATTGATCCTAATGAAGTTTCGGATGTGGTTTATGAAATACTTCTCCAGCAATGCTTTCAAGTCGCCACTGTAACAGTATTAGTATATGACACAAGTATGTCCAATATATATGATTATCTTAAATGACTTTTCTAACTAGTAAATCTTAAAGTTATTACAATAGAAAATGAGGTACGTTCTACAGTTTCATATTTTCAGACACAGAGGATAATGCCTTGCCTTGCTGTAGATTAAATACTTTTGGGTATGTTTAATAATGTTGACATTGTTATATTTAAACAGGATTTTAACATATATTAAAGAAAATGCCTGTAAACTCTGTCAACATTATCTACTTTTTGGTGAGTAAGTTCAAATCTACTATTGATTTGATTTTTATTGTATTACTCCTAGAATCGGTATATTGGTATTATAGGAGCTGTCTGCAGACTCTGTTGTAAGTCAGGTTTATTATCTGAGAACCCTAGTCATATTTACAAACTTTCTTTGAGTGGATATATATGGAATTAGTCTTAAAATGTATGTTTTATTTTTACTCTACAAAGGTATATGATTAATGATTTGTGTAGATGTAAGCACATTGTATATTTACTAACTGTAATATTAATTGATTATTGTAGGTATTGTTGCTAACTGGACCTGGAACCTTGCTAGTAAGGCAACATAGTTTATTGCATTTAATACTTAGCTAATAAATAGACAGATTGGATTACAATCATCTTGATTGACTGTTAGTGGATTGGAATATTCAAAGACATACAGACTCAAGTATCTGACTAATCTGAAGATATACTTATGATCCGGGTCCTTACACTTTACTCTCAAGGTGTGTAAGATAAGTACTTGTTAACATTGTACTAACACTGGTTAAAGATAGAAAATTATCAATGATTTTGAAGACACTTCTTGTACTTGAAGCATGTATAAAGATGGCCCTAATAATATACATTTGTTCGTTGGAAAGAGGTAGGTTGATTTTCTGTGTGAGATTATGCAAGCTCACTTTAGACTAGTTGTAATTGGGGTATTTCCAGATGGTGTTACCATTTGTGAACAGGTCACAGTAGTGCCTTGGCAATTAGGAATGATTGACTGGTATGTTATCAGAACTTATAAAAACTACTGCTTACATTTGAGTAGGATCCTTCCGATGGTGTATGGACTAATCCTTATGGTGCTGGCAATCTACAAGGCTGCAGAATTCTGGAGAATGTCTGCCGGTTTCAAAGGGTTCACTCTTGTGAAAGTTCTAACTCGAGACCAGATTATCTACTTTACTGTGTAAGTCTATAAACCTTTTTCATGCTATATAATTAATGTGTTCACCAGTGCTGTTTCATGTTGTGTGTTAAGTGTGTTACAGTTTAAACTAGTAGTTACAAGTGCCTTTTTGTCAAACCTTCTTCTGGCACTGGGAAACCCGTCATTTCTCTGTATTCTTGGTAGCCGGATACTGTTCAATCTAAAGGAAGCAGGAGAGCTGGGACTTAACGAGGGAACAAGCTACAGAATAAAGTCGATGAGTAATATAGAGTTTATTTCCGGGAGGCCCAACAAAGGTAATCTTACCATTCTGTACCAATTTCACATTTAACAATTCAATGATTTGCTAGATAGTGAGCCGGAGATGGTCATTACTGGATAGATTCAACATGCTTAAATGCAGGAGCAAGTACAGCCAGAAACCTCAGGTATGTTGTTGTTCATGTTCTCCTCCAAAAGTATTTTTAATGTGGTTTTTTATGCTGAATTGCTATTGCTTTGTTACAGCTGTCAAGTCCTCACCCTATGGTATGCCCCTTTCTTAAATGCTCACATTTTTCTCGGAGAGCAAGTTTATTACTGTTGTGTTAGGATACGATTATCACTTTATCTTTTGATGGAGCTCACTGTGCATGCCTTTGTATTATTTTGAAAAAGTAAAATGATCCAATTCGTGTACCAGACTATGTGCGTTGTAAAGCCTCTTGATGAAACACGAATTTTACTTCTTCTTCTAAAAGAGGGAAGATTCGTGATGTGATAGTGCAAGGCATTTTTACTATACGAACTATGGTGGGTAGACATTCTGCACTTTAGTTTGTTCACTCACGTTTTCGAGAACGTTTCTTGCATACATGTCAGGTCGTGGTTGAATTTCGCCGTGTAATAGGTATTATTAGCATTCGGAACGAATATCTATGCAACCAAGGCATTGAGAAAATGACAGCCAGTAAGCAAGGCCACAAAATAAATAAGTAGCTCGATATCAAGCAATTGCTATAAACAGAAGACATAGTATGTAAGCCGAGAAATAGTATTTCTATCATGATATTGTATCCTTCCTTCTACCGGAGACGGTCGCCTTATATACATGCACATAATTGTATCTACATCAGGTGGTAAAATGGCAGCCAGTAAGCAAGTCACCAGATTAAATAAGTGGCTCGATAATAATACATTGGGAGAGCAATCGTCAGTCGCCAAAAACAAAGACACAGTATCTACATAAGCTGATAAATATCTCTTTATATTATATTCTTCCTTGGACTGGGGACGGCCGATACATATTAAATAATGTTTGTTCCTTCATCGCCTGACCCTACAACTGCATGGCTGCCTAAAACAAATCAGTTGGACCTATGATAGGGAGACGTAGACAACATACCTTTGGCGAATTCAATGTCACTGATAGTCCCTAATCAGCAATTCCTTCCTTCATTCACCCCTCTCTCGACTGCATCCTTAACGCTGATCGGGAGATGGCTCCCAAGAACACAGAGAAAAGTCGGACTCTCAGCTAATTGTGTAATGGTTGAAACTAAGGGATGGCTATCCAGAATTCAAATGTATATTATGTCCATTGCGCAACAAAATACTACACTACAATAATGTGAGTTAGATAATACCATATGCAAGTGCAAGTGATTCACTTACAATTCATACTAGTACAGACAATGCAAAATCATCTCATACACCATTGGGACAGTCCTATGCAATATTAGAGAAAGTGGGAGACTGTAATCAAAATACTAACCATTCAATAGTCATCAGTATCAGTGGAGTCACTAGTACTCGGTAAACTACATTACTACAAATTAAACCTACACTCAAGCTTTCTCACTCGCATGTCCAACCACACCATCACTCTCGTTACTCTCATTCGACTTGACATTTATTCCTTCTGCATCTGTAATTGCGTTTAATGCCTCCTCTTCTGCGTCCAAGCGGCGGAAGGAGAACCAGAAACCTGTACCAGCGACAAAAGCGAAGACACCCATGGCGCCGTAATTCCATACTAGGAGAGGGTCTTCTGATAGAGCTGAAGAAATAAAGAAAAGTCAACAACGGCAACATCTCACAAATTAAAAACAGAAACCTAGCAATACGAAACAAGTAAAGGCAATACTCACAAACAAATGCTTCACCAATCGCGCTCGAGATCGCGCTCATCAACAAGAAAATCCCCATAACAAAACTTCTCATGTTCTTGGGTGCCTTGGTAAACGCATACTCCAGACCCGTTATACTCGCAAATATCTCCGACAGTGCGATCAGGACATAAGTACCACTTTGTATCCAAACATTCAACGGACTAGTAAGTTTATTCCCCTCGTCGTCTTCGCACGTACTCGCGTGGTATCCACACGGATTAGTTTTATACAAATAATGTTGGAGGACTGCGGCCCAGATCATAGCTGCCGCGCACGTATAAAACCCTGCTGTGATTTTCTTAATAGGTGTGAAGCGAATGTTCGCGCGTTGCAAGGCAGGGTAGACGAGTAAGTCGCAGATCGGGATGAAGATGAGGAGAGCGAAGGGGTTGAGGTTTGCGAGGACGTCGTTGGGGAGACCGTGTGTCTCCATCGTTGCTGCTTGTGAAGTTAAGTTATGGCCGATTTGGTTGTACGAAAGCCCTAGAGAAAGCAGACCACGATCAATCAGAGATTGCTTGCTCTTCAAGGAAGGACTTACAATAAACAGGGTACCAAACGAAAACAATACATGCCTTGAACCCTCTTCGTACTTCATCCACCCACTTATCATCCCAAGTCACCCACGCAGGCTTTCCCTCCTTCGATCCGTGTTCCTTGTCAATTCGGCTTGGTTTCGCACGCTCCCAGAATCCATCAGCCTTTTGCCTGCGCCAAGTCTCGAAAGTGTTCCAAGACCAGGTTCCGCGTGCGGCGTATCGGTAGACGCGCAGTGCGGAGGCTAGAACGGAGCCTTGAGGTGGAGATCGGATGTAGACCTTGCGCCCCAGGAATAGAACCAGTGGTGCTGTTAGAAAGACTACTGTTGGAAGGAGGAATGCGAGCCAGAATCCGACGTACTGCACAGTAGATAATTAGCGCTCTGCGCCTGTCGAAGTAAAGAGAGTGAACTTTCGTACCTTCTCGGAGTAAGTCATGCCAATTTGACCGACGAGAGCTCCGACGTTGATGAAGAAATAGAAGTACTGACAAATAGATGTGATATTAGTACTAGAGCGTGTACGCATAGCCGGGAGATATATGCACCATATAGATGCGAGAGGTAGTAAGCGCCGGGTCAATAAGCACGCGCTCTCCACTCCTGATAGTGCGTACATGCAATTTCCCAGTATACTGCTCAGCAATAAGCGGCGAAATGTTACTCTTAAATCCACCCGTCCCGATTCCCATAACGATTACGGCGATAACAAAACATCCCAATGCGCCTTTGGGTTTCGCAATAACATCTGGGAGCGAGGAAGTGATGAGGAGAACGTGGCCTACGAGTGCGATGACGATGGAATATGCGACAGTCCTGAATCGTCCAAAGTATGTGTCGGCGAGGTAACCACCGATAAGAGGGGTGACATAGCTCCAGAAGTTGTTGAATGTCACGATTCCGGTGGAAGCTCGCTGGCCCATGCCAAGAGCACCGCCTAGAGGAAGCATATAGTCAGATGATAAGCATTGAAACTAGTGGGGTCTGAACATTGGCATAGCCAGAAGGAACGTACTTTGACCATCTTCACCACCTGCACCTGTTCTTGAACCAGGTGGTAGAGGCTGCTGAATGAAGTTCGTGAAAACGACGATCGATCCTGTAAAATTTTAGCCTTATCAGAAATAAGTATATCCTGTCCTGCATACCATAATACGAGAACCGTTCTGCCAGTTCGACGTATGCGATCGAGTAGATCCTCGCAGGAAGACGGTCGGGCACACGACGAAGAGCGACTAGATCTTCCTCTGTAGGGACCTCGGTCCCGTCTTCGTGCAAATGTGGAAGTGAGGAGTGGTTGATCGAATCGGACGAGAGTTTCTCGTCCTTCACCTCGGCGCGCTGGGCCTCCGAGAGACCTGCCAGAATATCATCTTCAGCCCGAGTAGCAGTCATAGCAATTGCTAGATCTTTAGCACAAGCAACCAGCTAGATCCAAACGAAGCGGCGAACTGTCTCCAGTAGCCTGAGAAGGTGAGAACCCAGCAGAGACCTTTATACTAGGCAACCAACCTTTATCCATACCTCGGCCAAGCACACAAGCAAAGAACCCATGTGGAGAGCGGAAACCAGAAAATTGATACCATAGAGTTTGCACAAGGTAAGTTTTGACAGTGACGGAGCCGGATTGGACGATATTGATCGGACCTGCTTGTGTCTGTACGCCATACTGTTTTGTCCCTGGAGGGTTACTTAAACAGACCACTGGTCAATATTCTCTTCCGGAACTTATAAGGTAGGCTTTTATCAGTTCGTCCAGCGTTTTATGCTTGTTTGCAATATGACGTGCTTCTCGAGTCGTATTATGTTGTGCAATCGATTATGCATGCTGAAAGTTTCGTACTTGAGTTTGGGATAGGTGAGAACAAAACGCTGAGGGAACTAGATAGTACATTGATTTCGCCTGTATGGTGAAAGCGGAGCAAAATCTATATAAAACAACACGATGAGCAAAAGACCTCTATATTATAGAATCAAGCCGCTTGTAAAATCTTTATCTCTTGTGCAAGGTCAGTCTTGAGTTTCTTCAACTCCTCTACGGCAGCAACTAATTCGTCGTCTATCTCCTTCGTCTTCGGCATCTCAGCCTTCAGTGTCCGAACTAGATCGCCCTGGGCAGCAATCTTCGTCTCAAGCGCGACGATCTCAGGTGTCTTCGGGCCAGTATACTCCTCATTCTTCTTCGCAGCTGCTTTCGCTGCGGCTGCAGCTTTACGCTTCGAAAGTGCCGGAGCCGGAGCCGCCTCAGAGGGCAATGGCCCATTCCCCGTCTGGTCCTTCTTCGTCCCAGCAAACTGCGCCCGCCAAGTCTCTGCCATCTCTTCCTTGATGGGTTTGAACAGATGAGCAGGCTTCCCTAGCGTGTGACCAGGTAAGATATCAATGCCAAGTGCCTCTGGTACTGTACGTTGCGGCGCGTTGAGCTGCGCCAAGATGGCCTTGGCGGTTGCCGGCATGAATGGTTCCACGAGCACAGAAAGTATGTAGATAAGATTCACTGCGCGGCAGAGTACCTGGGCACATCGCTTCGGGCTGGAGTCTTTCAACGCGGAACCTAGACCGGAGGATTGGAGATAAAGGTTGCCGCGAGAGGATATTTGCATGATGATGTGCAAGCCCAAACGTAACTTTACAGACTCTAGTGCGTCGATGTATTGTTGCAAGAGACTGTTGACGTCCGAAACGAAGTCCGCATCGTGCTCACCATTGGGTGATATAGGACCTTCCGAATCACCGCCGTCAGGAAGGATGCCATCATAATTCTTCGCGACGAAAGTTAGAACTCGGTTAACGAAGTTTCCGAAGCTTGATAGACTATCTCAGAATTCTGTTGCTATTTATAAAATTCAGAACTCACTTCTTCAAGAGAATGTTGTTGTTTGCGGCAATCTAGATCGACAATTTGAGTGTTCTCTGCGGCAACTTAACAAAAACTGCACTTACACATTCCGCCCATGAGAACATGGCGTCCTGAGTTTCAGGTCGTGAAGATAACAGGTAGTATCGCCAGACAGACACAGGGATTCCCGTCTCTTTCGCTGCAGGCCCAAAGACGCCACGATTATGGCTCTTCGAAAACTTCCCGCCTTCATAGTTAAGGTACTCTGTCCAATTATACACGTCAGACGGATGCAAACCGTGACATCCTGAGGCAACTTACCTGTGGTGGAAAGATGGTGCAGCAACGTCCAGTCTCTTCCATCTCCTAGTTGAATCGACGGAAAGAAGATGGTATGGAAGTATACGTTGTCCTTGCCCATGAACTGGTATAAACGAACATGTTCTGGATTGAACCACCATTTTTCCCATTCCGGGGTATAGTTAGCGGTGATACTTGGGTATCCAATGGGTGCATCGAACTGTCATCCGAATGTCCGGCTTTCAGATTATTAATTTGATAACAAGAAGTAAAGCCACGAACCCAAACGTCTGAATAGCGATGTAGTCAGTGAAATGAGTCGAACAACGCTAAGGTGCTAAAAGAGTCACCCACATAAAACTTTCCCCTTCATTTCTTGGTTATCCGCACCCTCAATATCGGGAACGGGCACACCCCACGTCAAGTCTCGCGTAACAGGGCTCGGTCGTAATCCACCCTTCAATCGAGCATCAACCAAGACGCCATCACTGTTGATCACCGCGTTTGCTGACCAACCGCCAGCTTTCCACGATCGTTTTATCCATTCCTCCGTGCGCGGTTGTACCGAGTCGAGCCGTACATACATGTGCGCAGATTCACGAGCTACTACTTTGTGCTCTTTGTTGACGAGACATCGTGGATTGATGAGTTCGATAGCGTCGAGGGTGCGACTGCAGACGTCGCATTGATCTCCTCGTGCGTCCTGGAGGTATTTAAGTCGAAATATACATAAGCATAAAGATAGTCCCTTACATCAGCTCCGCAATGAGGACAAGTTCCTTCGACGAAACGATCGGCAAGGAATCTGAAATTCGTTAGTTACGATGTTAAAGTAGACAAGGGTCATCCACCTACTTTTGACACCCTTCACAATAAGTTTGCTCTTTCGTTTGTTTCGAAAGAAGACCATTCTTGCTCAGATTCTTGTAAATTCCTTGGGAAATCCTGTTGTTTAGCAGTTAGAAGACGCGCTCAAAATTATCAGAATACGAAAGTAAACATACTCTGTATGCTGTGGTGTCGTTGTTCTCCCAAAATGATCAAATCTATAAGGCAGAACTCAGCGCGTTAGACATCACGCAACGAACCGAAGTACTCACGCGATCTCAAACCAATCGTATGTTGCCCGATGTAACAAATGATACTTATCGCAAAGCTCTTTCGGCGTGATCCCTTCCTTCAAAGCTTGCGTCTCCGTTGCCGTCCCATACTCATCCGTACCACAAACGTACAGTGTACGTCGATTTCGTGTTCCTAGTCGAATCTTTAGGACATGATGTTCATCTACATCAGTTCACAAGATGCGTACGATTGTATCTATAGGTCTGATCAGATCTCGTACAAATGCGAAGAGATGAGATGAGCTGCGCACCTCGCGAACACGTCAGCACTCAGTGTGCTTCCGATGATATTCCCTACAAACAAACTCATTAGTTCCCAATCCCTAACCCTTCCTCGGTTCTCAGAAACAACGCACCAAGATGTGGTACATTATTACAATACGGTAAAGCAGACGTGATAAGAACGTTTTTCTCGCCGTCCTTTGGCAATCTTCAGGTAAAAACCGACGTCAGTATCATCAGCACGTCTACGTCGATTGTTTACTCACATCGGTTCACCCTTAGGTACGACCTGACGCAAGAGACCTTCTGCAGATCTAATCTTCTGAGCCATACTCACTGTAGATAGCCAGCGCAGACGCGGCGGTATTCGTCGATACCGATAGATCAACAACGTCGTCCTTCACCAATCGCACAAGCCTTCAAATTATATGCAGAGTATAAATGTAGAATAGAAATTTTGCAACGTGTTCAGTTGAGCCTTTCGAAAATAGCAGGTAAGAATATGACAAGATCTAACTCAGAAAATACGAAAGCAGAATGACGAGACGCGTTCGTTGAGACAGATTGAGTAGAACAAGAGCTGAAGATGAATTTGAAGGCGATGTGCAAAAGTGACTCGCCACGGTTACATTACATAAGCGAAACGGACTAAACTCGGACTGAGCACCGAAGAAAGCCCACATAAAAATATCGTGATACAGGTCGTGCACATAGTAACATACAAGTAAGGATAAATAGATAGTCCATGAAATAAGAAACACAAATTCTGGACAACAAAGAAAAGTAAGTCGGGTAAAATCAAGGTCAGGGTAAATAAAAATTGGAGTAAATCAGAAAGCAATATAATTAAAAAGTTCAAAGATCGAAGTCATAGAATGGTATCAGCGTCTTCCAAAACTTAGTTTTCTTTGTCGTCCAGGATTGACATTACTTATCCCACCTGTACTATCAGCCTCGAAGTACGGTGCTGGTCCACCTGTCTTCCCACCACCTGCGACGCCTGGACCGATTCCGTACGGTTTCTTGGAGTCCGACGAAGAGAATGCATTAGAAACGACGGGCATGCTGAGACGTCTCATCCACCCTTTCGGCTTTTCTCTCTGCATACGTGGCTGCGGGGCGGCCTGTACATGAGAAGGAGGATTGCTGTATTGAGAAGCGGAACATGTTTGACAGCCGCAATAGGGTGCATGATCAGGGCGCGTCGAAGGGTTTGAATTCGAAGAGGATGACGTTGATTGAGAAGCAGACAGCGCTATCGGCTCTCCGTATTGTGATGTCGGTCTAACAGGCACTTCACCACCACCACCACCACTACGCGATGGAACGAGATTGACCATACTATAGCTATGTTGCTGATGCGTTCGGACTCCACCAGAACCGGAGCTTGATGAAGTCGCGATACCTAGTGCCCGTAATCGCTCACGTTCACGCTCAAGTTCCTTCGTCTGCATCTCAATTTCGCGTTCGCGAGCACGTAACGCCTGTGCCTGCTCACGACGTTCAAGCTCTTCTAACTCTTCAATCCTCCGTCTCCGTCGCGCCAAGTCAATCTCGGACGGTGTTGCTCCAGCGTCCGCTGATGTCGGTACTTGATTTACGATGACGGTACCAGTGCTGGAATTATTATCACGCAGAGCAGTTGGTCCACTAGCTTGTCGGGGCCGATCCGTAGTTGGAGACACCTGGCCGGTGTTCCGGGGTGATAAAGGTCTAGCGTTGGTATCGGATGAAGGCGCGTAGCGACTTGCAAGGTCTGCTACCTTATTCGGTACGCGTGGTATATCTCGTTGTGGAGCAGTAGCAGCAGTAGAAGGAACGTCCTAAAAACACGCTGTCAGTATAGTGGTCCTTCGAAACTATTGACAAGACCACAAACCCCTCGCACCCATTTGTCGCGCATCGAAGCGACTATACTATTAGTACTTGTTACAGACTCCGTTCTTTCAATATTTCCAGAGACCTTCCGTTCTTGCATTCCCATTTCATTCGTTCCGGGAGGTACACTATCGCGTCTTCGATGATGCGGAGACTGGGGGCGTTCCGCTGCCTTCAGCTTAACAGTATCGTCTTTATCCACTTCAGTCCCATCGACGTTAGGAAATACAAGCGGTGTGGGGGGTTGGCTTTGACCAGTTGTAGTTGAATGGCCGCTGTCCGCGGTTAATGGAGGGGCAGTTTGTTCGACAGGGGTTGTTGACATCCTAGGTACGTCCGAGATCGGTTTAATGTCGTTAGGCCCGGCTGCAGTGCTGGGATTCCCTCCATCCGGTGCTCTTATCTGTTCCGTCGAGGCCTGCGCCAATGGCGACGAAGGTAACTGTGCCATCATCGGAAGCGGGAAGTGTGTAGGAGGAGTAGGGAATGATGATAGTGATTCAATAGAGCGAACCGAATCAGTGTTTAGCTTGCCCATTAATGCGGGGACGAAAGAGGTCGGCGGCGACATGTTATGAGGTGAGCGACTCGGAAGAGAACGAGGAGCTGAAGGAGGGCTATGAGTAGTCGGAGTCGAATACGAGAACGGGGACGATGGAGAAGTTGAGGATGCATAGCTTAGAGCAGGAGTAAGAGCTGGAGCAGTCGAGTGTAGCACAGATTGATCCGCCTCGGTGGATCCTGATGGTGATTTGTCAATTCGGACACCCATCTCATCAACTTTGCCATTTCCTTCCTGCTCGCGGGCGGTACCTTCGGAAGGACCGCTCTTATCATCATCGCTTCCTCCTGAGTCTGGAATGTTCAGCATCCAACCACCTTCAAGATATGCACGACATTCTCCGATACGTCCTATCACGGGAGCAAACTTGCGGACACAGTCGCATGCGCGCGTCCACTCTGCATCAGCGGCACGCGATACACTTGAGGTAACGTTGTACAGCATAGCAGTATGTCGCTGTGTCACAAATAACGAATGGTTGCTTCGAGAATGATAAGCATGGGTAATTTAATCTTTTGTAAAGTCAAGAACGGGCTTACTACTTCTCTTGCGACATTTCTGGCCCAATTACGCTGAGTAGATTCACGTAACGGGTATGCTCTTCGGCCGCGTCGCGATCCTTCTTCTTTGCCTTCTTTTCATATTGCTGACCTATACCACATTGCGATTAATATCTGTTGCTTCAAAACAAAGCTACTACACGAACCAGCTTGTTTGATCTTCGTATTTGCCGCATTAATCTTCTCGTCATGTTTCCTTTCTTCCTTCTATAAGCATATGAATGAACCATCTAGAAAAGTGTAAATTGGCGACTCGTTACGCACTCCAAGCGTCTTAAACCATTTCTTCAGATCATTACTAGTCCCTTCACATTCCTTGTCAATTGTCTTGACAAATTTAGCATCAACTTCGGCCAATGATTCTAGCAACATTGCTGCAGCGCTTAGCGCATTTCCTAATAACAAGCACCATATTTAGACTGTTATCATCGATACGATACGGAAATAATTTACCTGCGAGTTCATTCGTAGCTTTCTGACCCACCACGTCTTTGAGAGCGCGTGCAAATTTCTTCTGTACGCTTGCAAGAGCCTCCGCAGCCTGACAGTAATCGTTGAAGATGTTCACGATAGACTCGAGCGCCTTGCATGATTTGTGGATATCGACGCGTTCAATGAGCGGCGTATTCGCCGCCATGCTCGTTATTATCGTGGCACGTCGTTAGATATGTTTTGAGGGGGTATTGGGTGGGCGTAAAGGCAGCGATGCCATGCGTGGACACGGCCGCTATCAAGTGAGAGTCGAACACTCAGGGGTAAAGTTTGTCTGGATTTAGCATGCTTCATGATCGGCGCTGCTCCCTTTTAGGCCGTGCTTCTCACTGACTCTCAGGTTTCTTTTCCGCTGCCACGTAAAGAACAGAAACCCTTCATTTTGACAAAGAAACGACTCAAGATTCTCATTCACGTATCATCTTTGACAACATAACTCTGACTCAACAGACCCCACCGATAGCACATGTATGGGATAACTTCAACAATTAATTATTTGGAATAGATCGTCTTTGCATCTAAACAAGCTCGTGGCAAGTCGTATGTTCTCGAATAACTTGATAAGCAGCAGAGTACTTCCTTGCCATGCTGCTTCTGCTCTGGAAATACCTACTCTAGGCCCTGATCATCCACGTTCGAGTTACCTTATGTGTTGACGAAGGTCTTCCCTCTCCCAGTTGTGAACTGCGTTCCTCTCTTCATTACCACACATTTACACATCAAACCACAGCTGACACTCTCTCGGTGCAGCAGTGTAACTATTGAAACGACGCTTCATCTAAGGGGATTACAGTCCACGTATGCACAGTGGTGCTAGCATCTCCTTTCCAAGTACTTTCAGACCACCAGACTTCCTGCGTCACGGTTGCTGTAGCCGTTGCAATGACGCAAACTCTGTTGATTACAAAATTGCACTACAAACATATTCCAACCAATAGCGTTACAGATTAGGGCCTCGGACCTGGAAATCTCTAAACGACCAAAACTAAGACAATGATCAATGATTTAAAAATTACTTATTTTGTCTAAATGAAGGCAGTTAAGGTGTCCATGTTGCATCCTTTACAAACTTCAAAGCTGAATAAGTGTACCTACTATTTGTATGCATGAAGTGGACCTTGTTGGCCAAGGGCACTCTTCGATGTGTACTGACAGATGGTAAGGATTGTCAAATTATTATTAATTCTTCTTACAAGGAGAATGACTATGATTGAAGCACACATAGTAGTGTCCGAATCTCCTCGTCTAAATACCTTCAGCCTATCAGGCTTCTCACCTTTTCATCTCGCAATTATGAGCACTACAACAACTTGGCCATTGTAACAATCTAAACTCTGCTTTCCAAAAATCTATCCTGAGCAGCTTTATCCAGCATAGCATTATAGATTTGCCATACTTGAGAATTTTTAAATGACTATGACTAATTTACATCAAACAGTTTGATGAAGGCACCACAGCTTTGCAACCATGTTCCATTATATTCAGACTTAAAAGGTGCCATTACTGCTTGCAAAAGAGGGCAACCCATCACAAGCATCTCTGCACAACTATGTGTAAATCAAAGGAGGAGGACTGAGATCACTCACATCAGTTAAGTGGAAAGGATGCTGTTGGTGTGTTAAGGTTGCAAATATCCCTAAACAATAGGAAATATTCTTCTGTAGGTTTGTGTGCTGCTCAGGATAATACTAAGAGTAAGTCACACTAGTAGGGGTTTAGTGGACTCTGCTCATAGTGTGTAGGTGTCAATACAAGTTGACTGTGTGGATGTTCAAATATGAGCTTCATTGTTCATAGATTAAAGTATTATATACTATGTACTATCAGATGTCTCAGATGTATGTCTCAGAAGACATGTCTCAGTAATAGCATATATTTGTAAGACATTTGCATGATTTGAGACATATGATGTATTTATCCAAAATGAATGTTAACAGATGTGAAAAAATTTGTCACTGAAGGATTTGTGAAACTGCCACACATTCAGAAGGGATTTCTTAGAAAAATTAACAGTGTGCTCAAAACAATAGGAGAGTAAGGAGACAGTAAATATAGAAAGCAATTGCTAGCAATCTGTCAGAAAGTTGCAGAATGTGATGTTACAAGTATAGACAGTATAGACCTTGGCTATTAGAAGGGATGTACAAAAGTATTTAAAGAAGAAAATGAGAAATTTAAGGTGTTGAAGGAAAAGGCAGAGAAGGTGAATTGACAACGTGTTTTGTAGGCAGTAACGTCTTCATACATTACAAGTAGGAGTCATGATGCTCAGACACAAGAGTCAATAGTAATAGAATAATATTCTATCAGACTTGAAATTTGAAAACCAGTCTATGATCCGGCAAATACTGATAGCACTGGGATATGATGACTAGCATCAAAGTACACATAAAATAGTACTCATGTATACTCTGTATTTGTTTTAAGCTTACTATGTCCCTTGTATTTGCATCTCGCATTTTAACAGCATTCAGTTGTAGTAACTATAGGAGAGGCACAAGCTACCTCAAATGTAATGACTCGCATTATGCAATATTATTTGGCCAATACCGCTGTAGAATCCTGAGGCCCGGAACTTTCAATAATTAGGTCTAATTTTGCATCAATCTCATTGCTCTGAGTGTGTCAAATTTGCAGCCATACTTGTGCCTATAATAACTTTCAAAATGTAATACAGCAGGTAAGAAGAAACCTCCAATCACCAGGCATTGAATACAATTATGAGTAAACCAGAAGGACACTATGATAACCCACCTCAAAAGCTGTTGAAAGACGAGCTGAAGGATCTTACCAGGTCATACACAGCTATTCAATGTATTCAGAGACAGATTTTAGAAAGAATTGATAAGGAACTTGGAACAGTTGCACAAGGAAACGAGGAATATTCAAGCCAATTGCAAGGACTTCGTCAGGAAGTGGCGGAACAGGATACGAAAAGGGTAGATACCAGTGTATGGAAGGACAATATGACAACCTTTCTTGGTGCACAAAAATCGCTAAATAAATGTTTTCTAAAATCTCTGGATGAATCGAAACCAAAGACAAAGACAAAGGAAGAAAAGTGACTCAGAGGACACATGTTGTACTATAGATCACTTTGTGCACTAAATGTAGAAATTGTGTTATTCAGACGAGATACAATACTAATTATGAAGTGAGCGTCTGTTGGATGAACAGTATCAGTTGTGTTGCTTGTGAGATTAGTTCCTGCGCAGACAGTAAACCTGATAGAATTATAAGAAACAGCAATGTCGAAACTTGTAAACAATACGGCCCAGGTACAAGACTTACAATTTACTTACAGGGGTGTTTGCCAATATCTACTGATAGCTGACTAAGATTCTTCGAAGAAAGCATAACATAACATAACATACCGTTTTGTTGAGTATCAGATTGTGGGATGCAAGTATTGATGACTGATGCTGAAGAATGTTCTATTGAGAGAATAAACGACATAACAGCAAAACCTTATAATATAAAGACACATGCCTGTATACTTAGTGCATGCGGTAAGCTGGTTGACAGGATTGACAAGTGCTTGAACCCAAAGAAGATATAATGTGGACACCTGGTTAAGCCAGAGAAGTATGCGTAAATTTTGACTGTCCTTAAAGTATTTGACGGAGTTCTGTGTATTTTGTGTACATTGATCTTCATAAATTGCTCGGTCGATAAGAATCACCCGCACAAAGAGATTTTCAAGACGACTACAGGCTTCAGAGATTTAAACCTAGGATAAATTAAATGGCAATTTTCTTTGAAGTTAATTACACGCCGAGTGCTAAGGGATGCAAGGACTTGGGTGTTCTAAGTGATTGCCAGAGCTCAGAGACCGATACCTAACGACGACTTTTGTCTATATATTTACCATCGATTAGTAGTACACAGGATCATCCGAAGAAACGGAGATATAGGACTTTCGATCGGTCCGATTTTCGTTTCTTCGAGGTCAAATATTTGAAATAGACAAAGCCAATGGAATCTGACGTAATAGATCGTTGCAGTCTGACGACAGACAACTGAAATGCAAAGATGTAGATGCATATCCGTCGATTCCAACAGATCCGAGATCAATAGCGAGCATAAGCCTAAGTGGAAGTAAACGCTATTTTTGAAGGATCAAGAACAAAGTGAGATGATGTGCAGAAGAGACGGATATAATGATGCCGAAAGGAAAGGAACAAGGCGCGGGAAAGCCGCGAGAGCGTGACCTCGCTCGCGTCCAGCTTTGCCACCACTTTCCTCTCATTGACGTCCATCCCGTCCGACCCCCGGAGCGCTCACCGCACATCTCACCACAGTGCTCGTCGTCGGCATGGATGTCGACAGCGATATTGGTCCATTAGGGACCGGAGACCAGCATGTAAACGCACAAGCTGGCCCGTCGTCGCAGCCGGTGGTTCCGGTCGTCTTTCTTCCACCACGGGGTACGTTCCTTTGCCCTGTCAGATACTTTTTCGCTGACAGATATATCGATATTCTTTTCAATCCAAGGTCCATCGCCGCGAAAGCCGCCTTTAGAGAGCACTCAGGACCTCATTTTGCGTTTCCAGCTATTACGTGCGTACGATAAATACGTTCGGCCATACGCGCATCCAGCAAGCAGTTCCGGGTCCCAATCATCCTCGACGAATCCAATCAGCCCCGTCAAGCTAGTTGGTTTCGTGAACAATGCGTCCACGCCAGGAGCCTTGGACAAGGGGAAAGGTCGAGAGGTACCGCTCCCTGCGGTTGCGTCCACTCCCATGGGCGCTGCAACTCCAGGAGTAGACGGTGGAGATGGAGATGACGGAGAAGAGGACGGAGCCAAAGGGGACAAGAAGCAGAAGAATAGCTACAGACATCTTATTAAGGGGATTCCAGGTACGCAGCACAGTATGAAGAATTACAGCGTGAGGCTGCCTTTGCTGATTCCTGGATACCCCCAGGCAAACATTCTACTAAAAAGGACGACTATCTACAGACCATGATGCTTGTTCCTCCGAAACAACGCATGGACATATCAAAATTTGATACCAGAACTCAACGGGATGCATTCGCGGTTAACTTAGATGGGCTCAAGGGGGTACGTATGTGGCGTTTGGTATAAATTTATGGTTCTGACGATCGCCAAAGTGGAATATCAATGCTCTTGTCGCGGAATCCGCACAAGCACGAGAAGACAGGAAGAAACGGGTTTGTCGATCCGTTAATATTTCCTGCTCTAGTGTTGATTCTTTCTACAGAAAGAACTCAAAAAGCTTGCAAAAGCGCAAGCACAAGCGGCTCAGGCTGGAATTTCTCTTTCTGGTCCATTATCAGCTGTGCCAACTTCTGCCGCCCCCACTCCTGGCGTTCGTCAGCCACAGACTCCTGCGTCGGTTGGGGTTGGGACACCGCGACCACAAGGTCCTGGACCGGGTCCGCCAGGGCATGCTACAACTCCTAGTCAGACATCAGGATTCGGACCACCACGATCGGCGACGCCAAATCCACGTCCTGGGATCGTTGGGAAGAAACGAGAACTTGACGATGATGGGATTCAAAACGGGAATATCCCGGCAAAGCGCCCGCCGCCTGGTAGTGGAGGCTCAAAACCTGGTGTACCCCGGCCAGCCAAGAGACCTCGAACGGTACGTCTAAAAGTGGTTACTAAGTGCATCCTTGAAAGTCCTTCTGACTTTACTTTCTAGGACGGGACACCGCATCAAATGAGCTTACCTTCGATACCGCAGCAACAACCGACACCACAGGGCGTCTGACACGTCGATTCCATTATGGTCGAGTTTTATTCTGGGCGTTCGTTTAATTGCCTTTTTTTCCGCCCTGCACTGCCCTTTTTGGCACCATGATATTGTTTACAATTACATTTCTCCGATGGGATTATTCGTGTTAATACCCATTAGAATTTCGACAACGTTCTCGCACGCACGTTTGACGGTGTCATCATCCTTACTGCAATACACTTTTACACGACTACGCTCGCCAACTCGCCAATGTACCTGACATGTTCATCCTTACCAATACTACTCAATTCAGATGTACCATCTGCTTACTGACTAACGTACTACGCTAAGTTTTAAAGTCGTTGCCAGTCTATTCGGGCTTCCATTTGTCATACGGTGGGAATATTAATAACCGTTTGGCCTTGGGTTCCTGCTTCCAAAAATATTGCAATTCCACGGCTTCCTTTATGCACCGACTTTCTATTTCTACCCCACATAATACAAGAAAGATCGGATTTGACTCCTTTGCTATGCAGCTAGAGAGGAAATCAGTGTAGATTGTGGTGCTCCATCTTTTAATAAACACAAATCAAATCAAAATGCTGATGCACTTTCATTTCCATTTTTAGTAGCTAGATTAGGTGTACCAAAAGGTCCACCAGTATACATTGTAAAACTAACAAAGCCAATGTTAGTCCATCTATACTAAATAGCAATACTTTTCTGTGAATTTGTGTGTAAAAATTGAGAAGAGGGATGTTTAAAAATCAGATATTATTCTTTAGTATTTCCCTAAAGCTTCATTCTTCATCTCAACACTCAAAGCTCTGTCTGTGTCAAATACAGTAGTAAGTAGTAACACATTAGCATAGTAAACATATTATAACATAATGTACAATCATATTTACTTTATATTTTGGAGCTTATTCTGATACAGCTCTCTGATTGGTCAATAAAAGTACGGCTCACAATATGTTTGTCATACTTGCAATGAATTGCCTGCTGTGTAGGTAATTGAAGGTCTACAGAATCAATCAGACACGTGCCGCATTTGGAGCTGTCAGCAACCAATTCTCAAGCCCGTCACTTAGTCTTGACAATCATGCCTGATACAGACAGCGAGTTTGAATCGGGAGAGGAACAGGAAGAGTATGATGAACGTCGATCTCTGCAAGCAGTATGGCCGTGGCAGGACAAGTCAGAGTCAAGAGGGAAGACCAGAGGGCAGTCTGAGCACTCAGAGCAATGGGCACGGGCCAAGAAGGTAAGCGCACTGGCTTGCATGCACTTTCTTCTGTTCAATTTTACTGATGCATCATAGCGGGTGTCCTGTGCGATCAGAAGCACACTTGGAATTAGTTTGGATGCACCTCATGATTACCCAGAAATGAACGCCGAGGTTCTCAGTTTCTCCCCTGCTCCTGGCTTAGAGGAAGCGGGTCGCGTATTATTGACCATTTGGGACTCTCTGCAACACGTAGAGGTAAGTACAACACTCAAGTTATGCAAAAACTGTGCTCAAATGTTTTAGACAAATAGACTTGCCTGTCTACGGCTAACAGAACGCTGCGCTGATATCCTACTGTCCATTCGTGAAGAGATATTTGAAGCTGGTGATCAAGTCGGCGAAGGGTTGACAGTTCCGATACAGAAACTTGTCTTGTAAGACCTGCTTTTCTCTCCAGGGCCTGGTACTTATAAGGCTCAACGTTCTTTTTCAAGGGCATTTAAAGCTGTGCGGATTCTTCTCGAAAAGCAGGCTCATAAGCCTTCCCTTAAACGCTTTTTGGAGCGAGATGATGTATTACGCGGTATCAGTCGCTGCGACGCCGCCTTGAGTGATGCTCTAAGTTTATTTTCGGTATTTGATTGTATTCGGACCTTTTAGTAGCCCAATTCAGCTGACTGTTGTGCGTAGCTATCAATTCAAATACGGACGCTACGCGAGCTACAAGTCGCAGCGACACAACGGAGGGTTGATACCGAGACTCTTATTGCGTCGCTTGTGCCGCAGCTATCGGAACCTGACATCGACGCTGCTCCAAATAAAAAATCAATTGAACTCGCTCAGGAACCCAATTGGACAATTACTCGGTAGGAACCTCTTATCAGAGTCCAAGATAAATTGACTGAATTGTGGTCTAGCTATGAAGTCAATCTACAGTCGAAGCTCGGTTCTGGGTATTTTTCTGAGGTGCACCGTGCTCGCTGGAGGGAACAGACAGTTGCAGTAAAGATTCTCACGCTAACAACGCCATGGAATTTTTTTATCAGTGAGATGGCCGCCTGGTGGAGGCTTCGGCATCCCAATGTAGTTCGCCTGCTTGGCGCGAACTCCGCAAAATCTGACCCACCATGGTTTCTTGTTAGCCCGTTCATGAAGAACGGAAATCTCATTGACTACATGCGCTCCTCTGAGCAGTTGATAGATGGTCCATTTGAGCAGAGAGCGATGCATGAGATTGCAAAAGGCATGGAGTACCTTCACCAACAAGGTGTGATCCATGGAGCCCTGAAGGTAAAATTGAACAAGTAAGGTAAAGTACAAAAACTATGCTAAGTCAAGAGGATTGTAGGGAACGAATGTGCTGATCGACGACGATGGGCGTTGTGTCTTGTCGGATTTTGGCCAGAGCGAAATGAAGAGTGAAGTTTATCGTTTAAGCAGCACTCCTCCACGTAAGTACTTCATACACCGGATAATATACAATCTCACGTCAGATTACAGGCGGGGCTCTGCGGTGGCGAGCACCGGAGATAATTGATGAAAGTTTCCCTGACAAAGTCACGCGTCAAGTTGATGTGTATGCATATGCGATTGTCTGTGTGGAGATCCTGGGCCATGGTACTCTACCGTGGGGTGATGTAAACGATGACACATACAGGCGTCTTGTGGTCGGTGCGACTGAGTCCTCCTGCCTTAACGCTGGCTTGATTGTCTTATAATGTCAAATAGAAGAGGACAAGCGACCATCTATTGCATTCCCAAATGCATCGAAAAGCATTCTGGCAATCATCGACTTGTGCTGGCAGCGGGACCCTTCCATTAGGCCAACTTTCCAGGATATCGTTTGCGAGATTGAGAATCCAGGTTCAAGTAAAATATTTAGAGGGAAAGCCAAGCTCATCGACGACGATTCCGAACGGAATCAGTCGCAGGATGGACCTGACAGCACACTCCAGAGGACATTGGCAAAACTGACTCATCTTGATCTAACCGGTCGCGTCCAGTACAATACCACTGTTATGCATGCAAACGGGGGCTATTGTGATGTATTTGTCGGCACTATTCCTACTCTACCTCATGAAGGTCCATCCGATAAATCAGCTCTCATATTAACATCGAAGGTTGCCGTCAAGCGAATGCGTATTCACATATATAAGGAACGGGACTTCGACAAGGTACAAGCCTGTATTTACCAAATCCGTGGCGTGTTCATGACCTCTATATTTGACATTAGCTTTTCGCAAAAGAGTTATATGTATGGTCAAAGCTTAAACACCCGAATATCTTACCGCTTCGAGGATTCGCACTGGAAGGAGCCTACCCGCTTGTAATTTCAGAGTGGATGGAAAATGGGACACTACGAGAGTATTTGCAAGTCCACCCGAATTGTAATGCCGAGCCTATGGTAATCTCACCTTAGCAGCTCTTACTTTCCGTTCTTATTTTATGTGTTTGAACTAGATAGTCGGGATTGCCAAAGGTTTAGACTACTTGCATGGATTGGGTATTATACATGGTGATCTTAAAGCAGTAGGTTTAATTAAGTCTTCTGCAAAATTTGACATCAGCTGATTGATTTTGAGGATAATGTACTGATTAGCAGTCATGGGGAGCCGCTTATCTGCGATTTTGGCATTTCAAAAATGCTATCCGCTTCTCTTACTATAGCAGCAGCAAGTTCGGGAGGGATGAAGGGATCCTTACGGTGGATGGCATATGAACTCTTCGACTTGTCCAGCAATGGACAACTTACTAAAGAATCAGATATTTGGGCATTTGGCATGACTGTCTATGTAAGTTGCCCATTAGACTGGTTTCTATTGAAAATGACAAAAATGTTACAAAATTATCAGGAAGTGCTTTCACGAGAACTGCCATACGCTCGTTTCAGAAATGACATGCAGGTGATGCATGCTATCATAAAGCATGTCTTACCTTCTTGTCCTGCTGGATATGATAGTTGGTCACATTTCTTAAAAACCATGTGGAAAATTTGTGAAAGTTGTTGGATATTACCTCCGGAGAATCGAATAACTATAATAGGTATAACAAACTTTTTGCACTCATCGGGATATACGAACGCCATCACCGGCAGCACTGGTGAGTATCAGTCCTGAATTTTTGTAAAGCAAGAGAGCCTGACAATAAAGAGATCTAGAAAGTGGACATGATGCAATCCCCCTGTCTGGTAGTGGAGCCTCAAAACCTGATATACCTTAGCTGGTTAAGAGACCTCGAGCAGTACGCCTTACAGTAGTCACTGATCACGCGCCTGAAGGTTTTGACATTGCTTTCTAGGACGAGATGCCGTAGCACAAGTCGATATCTCTGGACGTCTGAGACTTTCATCCACTATGGGCGACTTTTCACTCTGGCGCCAGTTAATCTATTCACCCCTTCCACCCCCTTTTAGACATTATGGTATTGTTTAGATTTCTCCGATTGGATTATTTATGTTAACACTCGATAGAGTTTCGATGGCTTTTCCAAGCTTACGTCTGCCGATTGATCATACTTACTGCAACACACGGTTACACAATCAAGCTCGCCAATATATCTGACATGGCCATCTTTGCAAAATATAATTCAGGTTTACCAACTACTTACTGGTTAGTGTAATCCTACACGACGTTTCAAGCTGTTCTAAGCCCACTAATAGTTTCGCTCTGTCGTCTAATGCAAACATATGTCCTATTTGCGTCTCTTACTTCAGTCATATTGTAGCGCCACAAGCTTACAACACAGTTTTATATTTTTGTAAATCAAGCAGTGTAAAGAAATATGGGTCCTTTGCATTATGACTAGAATAAAACGAGTGAATTTCACTGCAACTACATATAAGTACAGTATCTCATGAGGCAGTACCATTTGTTACGTTTGATTTTATCTTATTTTCACTATACATGCTCACCTTATAGCTTATTTGCAGTATATACTGCATATATACATCCCACTCATCACGATTGATCTGTCAATACTCATATCTGGAATCCGAATGGCTATTCATTATACAAAGCGAGAGAGTAATTCATTCTCCTGGAATAACGTTAGTATTGCTCAAGTATTGTTGTTAATATAAATCATTGCATTTCATTTCTGCCATTATCTATCTAGTTATTATCTGGTTAACTGTGCTTTATCATAACAAACGTTTCCTTATCAATTCGACAAGAATGCAATCAAATCTTGTACAACTCCTTCCAGACTCTTTCTAGCTTCTTGTGTATTACCTCCGTATTCAGCACGATAGTCAATGGTGCCATCTGAGTGGGCATCAAATTTAGTCAAAAGCAATGCATTTGCTTTATTACATTGAAAGGTGCAGTCAGGATAAGAGTGTCTCGTTATACAGAACAACTTACTCCTGTCCTCTGTCTGTTGAGAAATTTGCAACAACTGGTTTCTCAATTCTTGAGATAAGCTTGACCAGTTGTTCTTCATTACTGTAGTGAAGTTGTCTTTTGCAGATGGCATTATAGTGGTAGTTAAGCGTTGGTTGTCTGTTTCTCTTGAATGTGTATTTGAGTGATGAATTTCAATGTCGTTTTTTTCTGCTCTTTATATACTGCACGACTCTGTATTTTTAATCACAATCCTTATTTTTAAAACAAAGTCCTGTTGCTCTATTTCTGACAGCTATGCTTTGCCATACAGGGATTCAATCAATGCTATTGCTCAGAGAGGTATGAAATTTCGGAACAACACTATAGTATAGTAACTTTGAAGTGTTTCATAAATGATCATGAGATGCTATCAGTGTGCGAAACATGCGGCATTCATCTCAGAGTTGATGTAATCTCAAATATCGTACACAAAGAGGTTGGTTATTCATATTCATAATCAAGATCTTAGAGAAAACCGACGGCTGACACGCAGTAGTTTCAGCTTGAGTAGCAATACGAGTATATCCCTTGTCTAGGAGTACGTGAATTCTAATAATTGAGCAATCTAGTACGGTATCACGTCCCATAATCCCAGTCGGAAGTACTAAGCAACCCACTTCTCTCACGCTGTCTATATAAAGAAAGGGATTATACCTTATAAAAAGACCCAAATCTCTGCGAAAATAGTTCTGCAGACAATTAATACAAACAAGGAGTAAACTAGTTTATTTGCATTGCTTAACTTGCATTTCAAGTCAAGTGTGAAACGTATCGGATTCTGCAGACATCACCGCCACAGTTTACTTGATTAAAAGTGTGCAAAGAATGCCGAATTAAATACTACTTCGTAGAACGTTGCTAGTCTGTAGAATCTAGTGTTGCAGTTAGTGACCTGATTCCAATTCTATGGGAAGCTCTTACAGCTTGGTAATTAACAACACTGTGGCACATAACTACATTATTTCAAATAATATAGTAATACTATAGTGTGTATGCAATATTTCCTTATTTCACACTGTGCAAAGCTGGAATTACCAGGGAGATAGTGACTAGTTGGCTCAGTCTGCGATCCCTGCACACGACATAGCCACGAGAAACACCACCTTCTCTTCTAATACCAAATGTCTTCAATTATGACAATGTGCTCTTCAGTTGGAGACATGCATATGGTGGAAAGGGAACTAATTATTACTATGCAGCTTGCTGATGTGAAGCCTGCACTGAACAAGTACACCTTCTCCATAAGGAGATAGATTTGATTAACTGAAGAAGGTTTTCCGAAATCTTGATTTACAGGAATAGCTAAGGCATATCCCCACATAATTGACGTTTAGGCAGATAGTGTTTGGCTTGCGGGAGTAAAAATACTGCATCTATTCGTGGACTGGTAGTGCAAATAGCACTAGGCTAGAATTTTTCAAATTGGAACCTTAGTATACGGGAATATCTATTCTGTGGTACTTGATCAATAGTGGTTACTAAATGAAAATGTCCGAGCCGCTAAGCATATTCGCCACGTAAGCTCACCTAGTCTTGTGTGGTATAGTACTCATGCCGTAACATTATAGAGTGCGGAAATTTTGTGGCGTTTACTGGTATTGTGACTAACAATAGTTATATGTTTCACAATATGCGAGGCTAGTTCAGAGACCAATAGGGAATGGGAGACCTGCCTAGTACGCTCCAAATTCATAACGTTGGTGAGATTGGCGGAAGTGCTCGTTTCAGTCTTGCCCTTTCCTTTGTTCATATCTTTCACAAGTCCACGCACTGGTAACAGAAACGCACGTCCAAATTGAAGCGAGCATTTCGATGTTATGCATTAAAGGTTAATGATTTATGCTCTGGGGCGGATGATGGTGCAGCGACGTACGGGAGGTTTTTCTAGAATCAGGAACGAGTTATCTTCAGTGCTGCCTCATTTAAGAGTTACATCACCAAATCGAACACGAAAATGTATTGGAATTTACTGCTAAGACATATATTTTTTACATATTGTGGATCCTTATATTCGCTTATAAAGTCTACATGTAAATATATTGCCTTGTCAGACTCTGCACGTTTTGGTGATGTAATTTAAATACTAGAGAGCCAATTAAAGGATAAAATCCGTCCCATCCCCGGTATTGGTGAGTTATACCGCAAGGATAAAAGAGAAACTGAGCGCCCCCAAGCTTTCCTTGAATTCAAGATGAATTAGGAGGTGTCTCTGCTGTGTTCATTCAGATGAAGAAGACCCGAGTTTCCATTCCTGCAGTGTTGCATCGATCATGTCACGTGATTTTATACGCTTCTTCGATGTGCTCGCGTCAGCGGCGGGCTTCTTGCATGAGCGATGTGTACCTGCTCGCAACCACGAGTCAATTCCATTGCTAAGTTGGGTCGCTATGAATTGGTACAAGTTGCGAAGGTAATATATAAAACGCCATATCCAAAAGAAAAGTTGTGCGAAAACTAATGCATCACATTGAACTCATGTAGGATTCTTACCCCTGACGAGAGCGCAGGGTCAGCGAGGCCAGAGTTCACTGTGCGGCCAGACTGAAGTTTCATCTGTAAATAGACATGTCTCAAACATCTGTCCTTGTAGATTCGTGCAGTGGTCATTGGGTTGGCAATCGGATGTTTGCTTTGCTTTACCAACTTGTATTTCGGGTTGCAGACGGGATGGATAAGCATGTAAGTTCAGTTACACTTGCAGATATCCGACCATTTGCTAAGGACCCATGCCTCTTAATTATTACTGAACGTATAGGATGTCACTTCAATCTGCTTTACTAGGATACCTCTTCTCACTACTGCTCCCGACGCCCATTTCGCCGCAAGAGAACGTGGTGCTGCAGACTACTGCTGTCGCCACTGGTACCGTGCGTTATGATCTTATTCACGTGCTTCCTCTGTTGCAACTGGAGTGAATATACTACAGATGCCATTAGCAGCAGGATTTGTTGGGATATTGCCGGCATTAGCAGTCCTGGATCCTGAGAAGGATGGTGCTTCGCCACTTGTCTTAACTTGGCCGAAAGCGGTTTTATGGTCTTGCGCAGTGGCATTCTTTGGGTATTGTCCTTTGTTAAATCTGATTCATTCTACGCTTGACTGGTATCTATCAAACTAGTGTTTTTCTTTCGCCTCCTATTCGTAAACAAGTGGTGAGCATTGCTGACTTGGTTAAGCTCAGGGAGAGTGAAGTTCATTTAATTGATGACATGTCCACAGATAATTGAGGAGCAATTGGCTTTTCCGTCGGGGACGGCTACGGCTCAACTCATATCTGTTCTTCATGATATACGTCCAGAAATGAATAGATCTGAGGATTCTCTACGCCATAGACGGGGTTATAGAGTGATTGATACCAATGATGAAGAGGTCCCCGATGCCTCTGATGTTAACGAAATCGAAGAGGAGCAAAACCAAGAAGAGCGAGACGCGGTAAGGAGAGATGGCTGGGTAGCCTTGGGGAGTAGTTTTATTGCCTCTGCGCTAATGACTGCACGTAGTTTCTCAATATTATTGTTCATCAGATCACTTACCTTCGTATGTTGCAGCTATTCGCCTACTTTTTCCCTGTCTTGTTTGCGATCCCATTGTTCGGCAGTAATTTGGCACAGAACTGGTTGTGGACATTTACACCGAGTCTGTCCTACGTTGGTCAAGGCGTGATTATGGGATTCCCTACAGCACTTAGCATGAACTTGGTATGGTAGTGGTAGAATTTTGGCGGTTTCATTGTTGTTGACCGGATATCCACTAGGGAATGGTAGTCGGATGGGCGGTGCTTTCCCCACTCTCGAAGTACAAAGGCTGGGCACCCGGTCCAGTAGGAGATATGACTACCGGTGCGCGCGGATGGATTCTTTGGACCGCGTTGGCCATTATGGTTTCGGACAGTTTTGTGTCCTTGCTTCCCATCGTGCGCGAGTTCTTCCTCAAGTCTTCCGCAGCCCTCGGGAAGCGGGAAGGATTCGTGAGGCTTCCGCGCACGCCGCCTACCCCTGCTTTCCCCGCAATACCGCCAGAGGAAGTCGCCCATACGTATGAAGAGGGTTCAAAGGATACGGAGACATCCGACCGCCTTGTACCTAGGAGATGGGTCGTGTGCGGCCTTCTCATGTCCGTCGTGCTTGGAACGATGCTCGTTTGGGTCGTATTTGGTGCAGAGGGCATCATGCCGTGGGCGACTATAATAGGTTTCCTGATGGGAGGTCTGCTCAGTTTGCTCGGGTATGCTATCCTTGTTTAATCAATCGTGACCCAAAAAGTTGTTGAACAGTGTGAAACTGAACTTTCATTAGCGTGCGCGCTTTAGGCGAAACTGATCTGAATCCTGTCAGCGGCCTGGGGAAGATCAGTCAGCTACTATTCGCATTCATCCAGCCCGGTAATGTGGTCGCCAATATCATTGCTGGCGGTGTTGCAGAAGCAGGTGCTCAGCAGTAAGTCCGTTCTGGGCTCGAAGTTGTGCTGAACACTTCTATTGACGTGTCTTTAAACAGAGCCGGGGACCTCATGCAGGATCTCAAGACAGGCCATCTTCTTCGCGCATCTCCGCGAGCACAGTTTCACGGCCAACTCATTGGTTCAGGGGTCAGCATCGTGGTCACTGCGACAGCATACAGTCTGTATACGCGCGCGTACCCGATTCCTGGACCCACCTTTCCAGCGCCAACTGCCTATGTCTGGCTTAGTCTCGCTCGACTTCTCAGTAAGTCTTCAATCTTATGGAACCAGTCGTGTCAACACATGTTATTGATGCGGGTCTACCCGAAGGGAATGGCCACCTACCTGAACAAAGCGGGAACTTCATGCTTGGTTTCGCCCTTCTATTTGCGGTGACCTCGTTCTTTAAGACGTATAGGAGAACAGGAGCACACATGCGGTGGCTTCCATCTGGAGTTGCATTCGCGATTGGATTTCTCAATACGCCAGCTTTTAGTATTGCACGGCTCATGGGTGGTATACTCGAGTTGCTCTATCACCGACGGCTTGCTGCGCGTGCTCGTGCCGAGGGAAAGGATCCAAGCAGTGTTAGCGATATTCGTTTGATCGTCGTCGCCAGTGGGTTTGTACTTGGCGAGGGAGTGATCAGTGTGGTGTCGCTTGTATTACGGACATGTGGAGTTGGAGTTGCAAGCTGCTGGGGTTGCATACCTGGGACCTGCGCAGGTTGTCCGGCTTCTGCCTAGCCCCATACCTTCATTTGCACAAGTGCACTTATTCTTCTAGATTTTGCGCTTTTTTTGTCCCTTAGATTGCAATTTGTATAGCCTCTGTGTATATTTGCCTCTTGCTATTGTTAATGCTCTCAGTTGAGTATCTGCCATTTGCTCATTTGCTAAGCTCAAACTCCACTGACGACATCCGCTCAATCTCCTTTTCAGATTCAAATGATCAGCCGGCAGAAAAACCGCTTCGATAGTAGTCCTCGAAATGCCTGATCTTCATACATCCCGCCCGCCCGCCGGGAACGAAATCGTTACGTTCTTATACATTGACTCTTTAACGCACCTTTTAGAGTGACAAACTGGATCGTCGGTGTTATAACCTTACACTTTTCGACCCACCGCCCATGTCCCCGTCAGACGTCGCCTGATCCTCTTCATTCTTCTTGATTGATTTTCGCAACGTGGCCTCGAATCGGGCCGTCTATAGCCAGTGATTCTCGCTCCCTCAACAGCAATGACCTCAAAGAAAAATGAAACGTCGAAAGCTTCAATGTCAAGGGGTTTCCCGTTTTAGTTTGCCGACGATCACACATACGATGTCCCGCAAGAAAATGAACTGCGATTTCTGCAACGTTCGTTCGCATAGAAACGGATTCCAGAAAATCCCACCTTCCTATTCTAGGTGACTCTTTTGGGTGTAACGAGAGTCTGGCTCATAGTTGAACCTTCATCTCGGTACGTGTCGAATACGATCAACGGAGCACAAAACGACACATCTTCTCAGTGAAGAGAGAATACAAGAGCTTACTTATTAATTGCGTTATCGATACTCGACTCAAGCTGAAGAATGCCGGATAAACAGTGTGGTCTAAAGGAATCCATTTCGCTTTCAATACAAGCTTCCTTTGCTTGTATGAAGTTGCTTCTCAGCGCATGTCATGGGAGACTTGGCCCAAGCCGATACTTTGTGACACGGAAAGACGGATAGGCTCTCCTTATCGACGTAGACTGTGTGGTGGTCTACTACATCGAGCTATCCTTAAAGGATGGCTCGCGTGCGTTCCTGTAACTTATTGATTTGTGTCCCACGACTGTTGAGGTCTGGAACTCCACCTGGACTCAACTTCGTCACTGATGATGCCTCTCCATGTTTTAGGGTTGCATCAAGGGGACGTCGGGGAGCGGTCCTTTGGTGCCTTTACGGAAGTGGAATCTCACGCTGGCGACGCGTGTTGCGGAAGCACCTGCGATCGGTGTGTCCGCCCCAGTTTCGGTACCTCATCTCACAATGTGGGTGCACATATGCTCCGCGACCTCGTGCAGACATGTGCGGCGTGACCTCAGGTTTCTCAACGAGAAAATGATGCTTGTACGCTCACAATAGTGTACATTTCATACATCGCGATCGTTGTACGGCAAAGCGTGTCATGAGAAGTTCATGTGTTGAATGATTTTTTTTTCCCTAGCTCCTTCTGTTGGCTTCCTTTTCAACGGCAGAGCTCGGTCCGAGTATCAATCAGAGGCTTGCCGCGCATTCATTTAATAATTGAAGTCGGTCATTCTCTCACAGTGTGTGAGTAGGCCCTCTTCCTAATATCTTTTATCGTGGAAGTACATCTTCCTTTTACTCACCGCGCTGGCCGCGCTCCACCTGCCGTCCATACTAAAGCCTCTTCAATGAACATGCGAAGCTTGTACGTTTGTATCAGGGTCCTCACCTCAAATAGACTTCTCGAAGGAGGAACTCAACCTTTTTTACATATTGGAGTTTGAGGTTGACCTGGCGTGTGCCCCACGCGGGTTAATCGTCAATCGTCTGATCGGCGGAGGATCGCGATGATCAGTTGTCTTGCTGTTCTGGTGTGTTCAGACGAGTTGTATTCGTGCAACTGAAGGCACAGGGCCAGATTATCTGGATTATCAGGACTATATCACGAGCATTTGGAGGAATAATCAGATACAACGGTCAATTTTGGCATTGCTTCGGGACGGAGGAATAACCGTTCTAAAAGCTCCGCTTTCCCCGCTCCGATAGAACCACTTTCACTTTGCCCGCGAAGATGAATTGGTGAGTCAATTGTATTCTTTTTAGTTTTCATTCCTTCTGAAGTCGCAATATGTACAGTGACAGAATCATAAGCGAAGCACGTGTAATTACGAAACCCCTATCAACCGGATGAAGATGATACAAGGAAATACATTGTGGCGTTAGGTGTACCGCAAGGACAACTTGACCTATATTAAGTTCACTTTTTAGCCCTGCGGCAAGGAGGTTTAGGTAAGAAACGGTTGTTTTTGCAGTGTTGAGAGGTACACTTACACAGGGACGTAAGAACAAGCCAAATTGCGACGAACGCAGTTAGAACAGATATTTCGGCCGTCGCACTTCAGCTTCCGACCTGTGATTTACGAGGAATGCAACTATGTTAGCAACAGTAAAGAAGTTCGTCTCGCGCGAAACTAACCTCGACAAAATTGACAAGCAACTGGAGTTCGCCGCGGCACTCTCACGACTTGCTCATCTGAGTCATAGTCGTAATCGTTCGTGTTCTGTGGTTGGGACGACTGTGCGAGGCGGCGAGAATATTCGTTACTCGTAGGTGCCCACATTATGTTGTGAGAAGTGGTGAATACCTCGGCGGGGTTCGACATTGTTTGTTATAATATGGGCTTTGGAGGCTAAGTGAACTTTCTCGATGAAGCTAGATCTTTTGCTCTTGCTGAAGATGGGCTTTGCAGGCATCGTATTTATACGATTTCGGGACATAATATCGGGACTTTCAGGATTGAATATTATCGGTGTTCTATGCACAAGTTTCTCTGTATCAGGGTTCAGCTACAATAACGGGAATAGGGCTCCGACCTAGACCGAGCACTCGCTTCTGTGTTCAAGGGTCGCCACGCTGACGGTAGGATTCATCCGTGTTTCAACGGTATCAATATGTGGGAAATCTTGCTTTGTGTATCCAGAGTGCCGCTGACCTTGTCCGTTGAATTCTACCCGCCCGCTTGTCCGCCGGAGAAGAACTTCTACGGGAAAAGAGCCAGACGGACATAAAATGTGAACAGGTGACTAAAGTGAAAACGAGGCAAAGTGTGCCGAAGGTAAAACCCTATGAAAAAAGGGATGGTGGGACACGAAGAAACACGAAACCACCGAACACCACCACCAGTTGGTAATTTTCTTTTCTTTTCTCTTATTTTGGAACATCGTTTGCCGTACCCGGAGAACCAATTCTTTGCACGTTGTCTTGCCGTTTTTTTACTTTTTCTTCTCGCGTTTACGCCTCAAAGACTGACCCATTTGAATAGCTTTTCATATCCTAGCCTTCTATCTGAGATAACACGCATCCATACTAACACGTTTGATCAGCAACCCCTTCTTTTCAGAAAGGTAAAAGCTAGCGACGGGGGTTACGCCTTCAACCTTGCTGCAAACAAGAGGCTACTGAATTTGTATGGGAGTCGCGTCCTTCGGATCAACCTTAAAGCGAATATGGACGTTTGAGCGATTTCATCTTGGATGGAAATGGTACATCGATTATTAAAAGAAAAGGGGGCACCGCAGCGCAATAGAAACGTTAGTTAGGAGTCCGAGATCGGGATACACGCGAACAACTATCTTGCCAAAACGGACGGCGGTACGAGCCCTGTGTGTCTGTATTGCCTTTGCGTCATTGCAACGAGTACTGAAGAACTCCGGACGTATTTATGTCCACTTGAACTCGGAACCATTGCAAGATGCCCAGATGTATGTGCATGTCTGCCGATTGCATTGAGAATGGATGTGGACGGTCTGCCGCGCAAGAACAGTAAAAGAAGGTCCGTTCACGTTTCCGCAATTTCCACGTAAAAGTGCAGTGAAACTTCCTTTCGATTCCACGTCTCTCTCGTTTAAAGTTGAGAAGAGTGAGAAAGAAGGAAGAAATCATTTTTGCAAGTCCGCGTTTGCTCACTCCAAGACCCCGCGCACACGGATAAACACACGCTCTGCACTGTGCGACTTAAAGGGGAGGCCGATTGCTTGCTCACGCCGCATATGTGATCGGATATGCTTGATTGAGGTCGCAAGATAAGGAGAGGACTGGCGTTCGTTTATGTCAGGCTTGTGTTCTTGTTGGAGTGCTTGCGGGTTCTTCGGACACGTTATTCACCCTTTTCTACTCTTATGGGGATCCGCGATCTCTCTTGAGTCACTAAGCATTTTAACATTTGATTGTGAGACTCGAAGCTTTGAGCGGCTCGGCATGGGATGTCTGGAAACGTGCAACCGCGAGCTAGAGATCTTCACGGTCGAACTGTATGGGATAACAGATAAACAATCAAAACATATCCCGACCTCATGGCGGTTATAGGTTAATTTAGGCAAACGGTTCCGGGAACTTGGTCTGATGAACTACTCGTCGTCCTGGACTAAAGGAACGGCTCGAGCGCCTGCGGAAGAATCTCAGCGATGGCCGGACCACTCGGCGGTTCAATAGATTGGTAATACTATCGAAGAGATAGTTAGCAGCGGGCAGGGCACACACGATACCGTAAAGCACTCACGTCTCCCCACCATGGTCCCGCAGCCCACCAGGAAGCGCCAATCCAGACCCCGGACTGTTGCATGGCGCATAGGGCACCCTGTACTGCCGAAATGCAGTCCGCTGATGGTGGTACAAGCACCGGGTGTACTCAGTCAGCGACCAACATCTCCAGAGTATCCGCAGGGCGGAAGAAATGCGCACGCACCGTTAGACCCTGCGCCTATTTCGCCGAGGAAGCCTTTCAGGTTGTTTTGTTGCAGCCACGTTGTCGCGTCGGCGATACGCTCAGCACCGATAGTCGAAGATACACACGTCGGAGAGGTTCCCGAACCGTCCGAGTCAAGATACTGATGCATCTCTAATATAATAGGTGAGCATGAGGGGGTCCACGCTCTGCAAAGCAAATGTTCCGACACTCACCTATGGCGGTGTTATTATTGGGATCGCTGATCGCTCCGAAAACATCACTGTTTCCCGAGGTCGTCCACGCTTTAAAAAAGTCAATTAGTCTTCAGCCATACTCCAAAGTTGCACACAGCGGGAACTCCCAAGGAGAGCACATGTTCCCGGCTACAATGCGAGATGAATACCTACTCCACGCTCCGGTCCAACTGAGAGTACGAAATATATTAGATCGGTGACGAGAGTGGGAGAAGAAATGGAAGATATACCTTGTGCCCTCAGCGAGGATGAGTTGGCTCGTCGCGCCAGAAGCCCGGATTCCGTTTATCGCAGCTTGGTTCTGTGTATGCTCTCCTGTCACGATGGTCAACTGATGTGAATCTCTAAAACAATACTCACAAGATCGAAAACTGTGGATGCTGGAATGCTGTTCGGTTCATTCATAACGTCGAAAATAACATTGTTGTCCGATTGCTACGCAAATTACAAGTCATAAGTCGAGGAATGGCGATCTGAACGGAACAAAAATTCACGAATTCGGAAGCCAAGTTGGTCCAGACTGGAAGAACAATGTTTAAAACTCTTAAATTGCCACCCTCGGAGTGAATGCTTACAGGTCTGGAAACTACAAGGAGGTATCAGGGTCATTAATGAAAATTCACGATTAAATTGCAGATAATCAAGTACTCACTCAGAGGTACTCGAGATGGTCTGGCCATTGTAGACCATGAAGTTGTGCGCTTTTAGTAAGGACAATTGCGTGAGTCCGATTCATAATACGAGGAGGTAAAGAGAGATTAACTCGATTACTCACGATCAACGACCGCAAAGGCGCCCTTTCCGGTGATGTAACTGACGATCTTGAAAAAGAAGTTAGGAAGACCCGAGAAAACACGAGACAGGGGACGAAGTCTATACCGTCTTCAATCCCTGCAGGTACGTGGCGTCGAAGGAACCCGTAATTCCACTCGCAGGGGGAACAAGTCGCTCCATCAAGAACGGGATACGGAAAGTGTTGAACCCCGCATTGACAAAGTACTAATTGGCAACCCGGGTAATTAGCATTTATTTCAGGCTGAAGGGAAGTGAGGACAAAAGGGATATCGAGAGCGAAAGGGGGGTAAAACTTGCGAGAAGTTCGAAATATAACGTACATCAATGCTAGACGGTGAAGGCCATGTGTAGTCCGTGCCCAATGTGCCAGGAATCACGGTGTTCCCAAACTCAGCGCCAGACTCGTTAACGCCGAAGAACTCAAATTTCTGGCTGTTAGGGCAGTTTACGTCTAATGAAACGGGCGAGGTTGAGGTTGATGTCTTCGACGGTGTTGTGGATGTCGCGGAAGTGCCGGTGCTTGCCTGATCCTGTGGAACCGCGATTCCGAGCGCCGCGCGCGCTTGCAGAAGGGCTACTGCGGAGGCGACCGCGATCGTCAGCTTCATGTCGTCTTGATCCTATTGTCCTCGAGACTAAGGAAACCGTCACCTTAGAGAAATGGGTTAAATACTCAGCACTCGGAGGAGCCTCGTTAACGTGCACCGACAAAAGTCCACACTAAACATCGTGGACCATAATCCATACGCAGAGGGAGATGGAGTGCCGAGCACAATATGAGTTGCTCAAGAGGACATTCACCGACGATATGCCAGCAGAACAGAGCACACAGAGACAGATTCTCCGATAGCGGGGCGATCGAAGAAAATTCGAAATTGCTCCCGCTCTTGGTAGACGGATCAAAGTAACACGAGACTTTGAAGAGATTTGCATAATAAGCTAGAATACGCCGCTTCGACTGCCAGCGTGTCATATGCTTCAAGGCCGCCGACAGAACCCAGTGCAGGACCTCGGAAATGACGAAAGCAGTCTTATGTTTTTCCGCAGAGACAATATGTAGCGAATGTCAGGACAAAATATCGGAAACATACGCTGCATACTTTGTGATGATGAAGGTGGCAACAAAGAAAGGGGCACTCCCCTTACCCTGACAAGGCATATTTCCTCTTTTGGCAACCTGTTACAAATCATCTGAACAAACTCATTCAACAGGCGGTGAATGTAGTATCGTAGATGTGCTTCACCAATATGACAACTGTCATGTCATGTCAGGGTGGTTTTAATATCTCTGTCAAGTCTTAGGCCGATTTATCCACGGTTTTTTGTACCACTCCTCTGGAAAACTGTCACCGAGGTCCCTACAACAAAAACACACATATCAGGTATATAAGTTACCTGCATCATGTATGGGAACCGATGCGAACTCGCGGGGACTTACAATTTTAATCTTATTTGCCTTTGATAAAGATTCCATATTGCAGGGACAACAAGGTTACAATGCATGCCCATTCTACGTTCTATAATAGAATACACGAAGGATTAAGAAAAAATAGCCAAAGAAGGCACCACAGTAGACAACGTGCCGTAGATTCTATCTAGTTTACACATTACGCGACCGAACTCATGTCGGCTACCTGATACGCCTCTATATGCTCCCGTAGACTAGGGCACCAGATGAGGAAGTAGCAGCACCTCTGCTGGGACTGCCATTTGGAAGACTAGCGCCACTGAGATCCTTACTTACGCGCGAGCGGCCTCTCTCAACCTCAGGGCCATCCCACGGATATCCGTACTTCTTCCTGACACGCGCCTGTTTCCTCATTTCCGCGGCAGAGCGGAGCGGATGTACCTGCACGAGAAGTAAGAGTGATACAGCAAGAATGGAGGCCGCGAGCACGAAGATGCCCTTTGGGAATTGCGCGACGGTCGTGCTGTACACAAGGCCGAACAGCAAGGGCTATAAGCGAGGGTTGACGAAGAAACGAAGGAGGTTTTGTCAGTAAGCAGCTATGTCGCTTAATCGAGGATAGCGGTAGAACGTACGCCCAGAATCATCTGGCCCGTTGCCTGGAGCACTGCAAGTGCACCGAAGAGACTACCTGTAGCCGCGGCTCCAGCGGGCTTCGCTACACCAAGGCGCTCATCTTCCGCGGCCTCCGTTTGCATCACGCATAGCGAAAGGCTTTGCATACTCGGAACGACGCCCGATCCAAAGCTACTAAGCACTGTGAACCCGACAAACGCAGCCTGCGCCGCAGCCGTCGAGGATGTGCTGGAAAGCGAGACCAGCGTATGCGAAAGCACATCTATTGCGTAAGAAAGTTGCGTGATGCGAAGGTCGAACTTCATCTCCGCGATGAGCTGTGCCTTCGTTGGCTTCGGCTTCTTATTGCCAGCGGTGCCCTGCTGCTGTGTTGAAGTCTTCTTCGGCTTCGGCTTGCAGCACGAAATAATGACTGCAAGCAAGGGGGAAATAGTGAGGGAAAACCATACTCCGAAGAATTCGGTACGTACAGGGCATGACGAACAGCAGGTGGACTGCCCTGGCGCCTCCCACGAATGTAATGTAGTAACTCAACTATCGGGATCAAACAAAGGGACCAAGAGGAGGTAAAATTCTATCAGCAGGAGTTTCTAGAAGGAAAAGAAGGCCTGGGCCGAACCTGTTCCGCTTCCCATGCAAAAACATGTTCCGCATACAGGTACTTAAGCTGGAAGATACCCTGCCATATTATGAATGAATTCAATTCTGCCGATTACCGAAAGAATTCGTTCTCGCTCACAGACGAAAGCAAATACCCAAAAAACGCAAGTGCTAGAAGCGTCATATTCCAGTCCCTTCCATTTGGCCGAATCTTCGGTGCGAATACGACCAAGGGCATGAACAACCCCTTCATAACCGACAGAATGCCGCCGCAGTAATTTTTTGAAGCCTCGCGATGGTCTTCTGATTCATCTATGACAAGGGGATCCAGATCAGTTCCTGCGGCACGTTTCTTCTTGCCCAAACTCTCTGGGAATACAAAGAGTGACAAAAGCAAGTTCGTGAAGGAGAAGCACACGGCGAGCCAGAAAACAGGCGTCACTGTCCGTCCCTCACTCGCGGATTCGAATCGAAGAAGAGGCAGCAGGAATGCAGGAGGATGTGTGATTACCCAAGCACCCAGCATCGGACCGAGTGCAAATCCAAAATAAAAGACGCCCATGAAACGCGAGAAGATGTGTGCACGTGAGCCGTCAGAGGTACAGTCAGAAATGTATGCAGATGTTCCACTTTGCAGAGTCGTCCAACCACCCAAGAGTCCCTCAAGGATAGGAGAAATGACCAGCAACTTGTGTCCGTGAGCGGCGAGCGGCGACCGCGGGAGCGAGACGAGTACAAAGAATACATCGGTTAAGAGCAATCCCATTGTAGCAGCAGCAAGCACGCGGGTGCGACCGTGACGTTCGCCAAAGTGACCCCACCAACCGGTAGTTAGAGCAGATAGGAGTCCCATAGTTGTTGTCATGATAGTCTGTAGCCGCGCGGCATAGGACTGAACAGCAGGATCGGATAAACAACGTTTGGAAGGGACACGCAGAGGGTCCTCATCACCGGTATCATCATCATCATTACCATCTTCGTTCGTCTCGGATGTCCGAAGAAATATAGTGTCAAAGGTCCCGGCTCTGGAAAGATCCAGCGGAGATGGGGTTAAGGACAGTCCGAGCGTACTCGTGCTGTGGTTGTAATGTGGATGTCCATAAGTTGCGTAGCAAGCTAATTGAGTGAAGACCTCCACACGAGGCGCAATAGTCATCCCCCGCTGTACACCGTTGGAGTGAGTAAAGCAGTATGCAAGTAACGAACGGACATTGGAAGTACCGAAATGGAAGCCAAAACGGCAAAAGGTACAATCCTGCATGTTAAAATTTCTATTTCAACTTCTTATCGCACAAGCAACTGCAATTCGAACAATAATCACCACATAGGTCTGGGGCGGTAGAACGGCTTCTTACACTCCTTCCTGCGGTCCTCGCTGTCCAGCAGCGGTTGACTTTCACCCATGTCCGTATGCCCGTCGACCGGTCCTTCTTCCAGGAACGACATTGCGGGACCGATAAGGCGTGAACGGGACGGAGAAGTCGGTAGACTCGGCGATAGAATAGGATCATTAGCGATAATGTCGAGCGACGGCCGCCTCACAAGGTCGTGCGACGACTGCGACATGGTGGACGGAGCAGAGAGAGGCGCCAGACGACAAGCACAGTCTGCTTATGTATCAAAGTCGTGCATATCTCACGACGGATGCTAAGTGCGGTATGATGACGCGCGCTGTAAGCGCCGTTTGGGCGTGTTACCGAGATCAGAACCGAGGTCAACTAGCGTCCATTTCTTGCTTTCCATCTTCATGTCCAACATACCTAATGAACCAGTTTATGCCATCTTCGTGCTGTGGTCGTGCTACCATATGGCTACACCGTCATAAAATGCGAATGGAAATGGGTATTTTCGTGATTACAATCGACGGTCTGAGCTGGCTTATTTTAGTGATCCACGTCTATCTACCAACGGAACCAAATCTCTCTCGCCACGCAGAGTCAACCACTTCTAGAGTGCTACATGTCATTTCCTACTCGAAACCAAGCAAGACTCCTAAAAGTAAGTCTAAGGCTTTTGAGCTGATTTATCTCCACTTTCAAACAAAGCGCGTCAAGCAGGGCGACAATTCTCGCACCGGGCCGGTACGGCCCAAATCAAGGCAACTGTGCTCCGTCAGCATTGAAGCCAGATGTGATTATTTTCAAAATATAGCACAGAGAGATTACTCTCGTGTCCAGCGCAAAATCAAAAGAACGTCCTGCTGCCCAAACAAATGTCTGTCCATGGTCAGATGATCACAAGCATCATCCCACTTGCAGTACCGGACCACTTACGGACCGCTCGACAATCGTCATGGACCGTTTGCTGAAGTTACTTATAAACAAACAATTTTGACCTTATTTGGTGCTATGCCTCATTGCATTTCGTTCTCATACTCAAGATGCTCGCATTGAAATCGTGCTGCCTTGTGGCGTTCTTGATCTCTCGTGTTCTTGCTTCTGATAACATTCTAACCCTACCGGCTATATCGCCAGTTCCGTCTAATGCATCTGAATTGCTTGACAGGTGGCTCGCTTCGTTTTCCTTCGAACTTGCCTACTTGCCCTACTTTACTGGGAACCGCTCGAATCCAAATGTCCTCACCCAGGAGCTCATGCAGAGACTGGTCGAACGGACCGGAGTAGGCCCTGATATTCGTCCAGGAGGTATTACAGTGTAAGGATCAATGCATAGTTGTTTTCCAGTTTCGTCTTGAACTTCCTTTCCATAATGTAGAGACAGCTCGATCTTCGACCCTAACGCGCCGGCGCTCGTCCGTGATGAAAGTCCTGTAAGTCATTGACAAGTTGTGTACTTATAATTGATTGAATACTAATGTTTTATTTTTGTCGATAGTCAGGAGGAATATACAGGACAACTTAGTACGCTATCAACATTTCCTATGACAATTCACAGGTCAATCCATACATGCTTCAGTGGACCAGGCTTCTTCAACTTGTTGAAAATGTTTCCCGACTCGTCACGGTTCATAGTAGATACCAACTTGGGTAACAACTCTGTCGACATTGCTCAACATCAAGTCGAAGCTGCAGTCAAATACTTAGGATGGGACAGGATTTACACTATACAATGTGAGCTTTGTCTTTTGTCGAGGTAACTATAATTAGTGTTTAGCTGATACGCATCAAATTGAAAGTGGGAAATGAACCAGACCATTATGCAGGTGGTTCACGTCCGAGCAATTGGTCATCGGCAGCGTATACTGCTCAGTTCCTCGTGCGCATATACTTTGTTTGTTCGCCGAATGACTTATCTTAACGAAAACGTGTATCAAGAACTGGACGACAACGTTGACTGAGCGCTTATCTCTACCTCCGCGGATTTTCCAAGCTCCTGCAGTCGCGGATGACCCCACACCTTCTGCTCTTATCACGACTATTTCTACAGTTGATGAGGGCATTGATTCTACTGGGGTGCTTAAGCTATTTGACCAACATACGTACGTCTTAGCCCTACAATGAAGCATCTTATCATTCTTCAACAAGAAGGCTGAGTACTCTGCAGTTATCAATACTCAACGTGCGATCCCGAGCGTAACGCCATTGCAACACTGCCGAACCTCATCAATCACCGAAATATAACAGTGAGATACCTACCGCATCTTCCATTCCTTTTGGGTTTTACGAAAGTCGTCAGGCATATCTCGACCTCTGGAAACCACAAATTTCGGCCGCGAGAGCCCGAGGAAAAGAATTCGTCGTAGGTATGTCCCATAAAACACACGTGCACGCTGCTATGTACTTCTCCACCTCTCCGCTTATCGCGGAGACAACGCGCAAAACGAGTGAACTTTGACTCTAACAATTTCAGGGGAATACAGCTCCGTCTCATGTTCGGGGAAGCAGAACGTCACGGATACCTTTGGCCAAGCCCTTTGGATCGCGGATAGTCCGTATCGAGATCGAGGATCCGGCTTCTCCTCGTCCCTTTTTTCTTTTATCTAACTAATTGACTAATAAGAACTAAATATTTATATCCTTCTTATCAGCCGTGCTTTACGGAGCCTTTTTAAATATCTCGCGGATGTATTTACATCAGGGTGCGACACTCGTGTTCCAGAGTAGTCAACAAGCGAATGAGTAAGTATTTCCCATAATACCATATCCTCATGCTGCGTCGCTTCCTTTCGTGAAGTTCCATCCTATCGAGACGGGTGTTGTTGACGTACAACGAACTGGCTATGTTTATTTATGCTGATACCTTTCCTACTATAGACCCGGATTTTCATGGGTAATTCGAATTCCCCAACTGTGTCGTGCCTTTACGCATTCAATAAATTTTCTGAATTATTTACGTTTAGTACGACCTTTGGTACCCGGTGGAAACGGAGCGCTATGGACCCGCGCGTGCCTCTCCGTCCTTCGTAGCCTACCTTCTCATCAACGAGGTAGTTGGAAGTTCGCAACAATCCCGGCTAAGTCTCATCGACGTCCCTTCTCATCCACAGCTCGCGGCATATGCGATTTGGGACCCATCCGCTCGTAAAGATAATATTGCACGATTTGTTTTGCTCAATCTTTCTGTGCGCAATGAGAGCACATCTGCTGCAGACGCTGCGCTTGACGAAGTAGTTGTCGACTTGAGTTCATACGTACGAGGTGGGAAGGGAAAGAGTGGTGCAAAGGTGAAGAGGATGACGAGTCCCGGACTTGATTCGAAAGATGTCAGTCGAGTTCTGTGGGCTGGTCAGTCGTATGAAAATGGTACTGCGTCAGGAGAAGAAGTCATTGAGAACTTGGAGGATGGGAAAGTAACTGTACAGGGCAGTGAGGGTGTTCTTGTGTTCTTCTAAGCTACGGTTCACTTGAGGAATTTGCAGCATACTGCTTGTACTATATACTTAACAATGACTGTTCATTCTTGTTTATGCCTGTTAGTGTTTGACAGGTAAGTATAATTTAATAAAAGTTAGAACTCTCCAACCAAGATTCAAAATGCTTTAGCTATCTGCTTCATGACTTAGCTTGGAAACAATCAGTGTACAGCTGCCAATACTTAAAGCTATAGTAAGCATATGCTCAATTCAATGACAATTAGTATCTTTATTATCCTTGCTTTCATTTAGAAAAATAGCCTTCCCAGATGAAAGCTGCTGCCACACCAGTCAAATTATTGCTCCTACAGGATGCTCTTTACATTCCTTGGAAACGAATGGAATATAATAGAGCTTGTCTCGGTTCATCTGGCCCAGAATTATTACAGGTGGCTTAAAAACTAAGGTAACATAAAATGATAACTTATGAATGATTGAGTAACAAGTTCCTCCCAAATTATCATTAACTCTAACACAGCTGCCCCTAGTTAGTAAAGTTTGCAAAGCTGCCGTTCTATCTACAAATTTGGTGTGAATATTTCTGTATTGTAAGAAAGGAGGGTGAACAACAACCTTGGCTGAATGTATAAAGATAGTAAATTATAGATGTGCTCATTGGTCCTTCTATTTCTGAGTCCTATTAGTACCTGAACTTGTTTTGCATGTTACATTGTGAAACAGTATACTACACAAGAATAGATGAGCTTGTGTAGTAAATTTACAAGATTAAAATTAAATATTTCTATTCAGTAAACAGCTTTTTGAGAGCTATTGATTATAACCATGTAACAAAATACTTCCATCTACAATGGATGCAATTTGCAAAGCTCTAGCCTAGTACTATTTGCACAATTATTTAAGTGCAAGATTCTGTATCAGTATATTATTTTAAACATTTGATTACCTGTACATCCCTGTACTGACAAACAGTGTTTCTCTTGCTAGTAAGTGTTTCACTATAGCTAAAATACAGATATTCATTATAGTGTAGAGGTAAAATATAATTTTCATTAGCTATATCATTCAAGGATTACATATTATACTAAGAAGTCAAGTAGTAACTATCTTACTGTAGCAGTTCCAGATTTGCATAGTGTGAAACACAAGAATTCTGTATACATGCTAGCTAGGATAAAATAATATGGTACAATGTAATTATTCACTACAGGACTGTCATTTGCTAAGACTTGACAGCCTTGTTATGGTTCTCTACTCTTGCACCTTCAGTTCCAAGGGTTCTACACCCTTCTGTACCAGAACTCAGGACTTCTGTCCCTCAGAAGTACTATTTATAGACTATATACAGACTAACTCTTACTATTACCCCTCCTTACTTTATCATTCTGTTCCTTTGACCACCCCTTCATTCTCTGTTCATTCTATAGTCTCTTACCCTTTGTTCATCCCTTCATTCTTTGTACCTTTATCTTTGACCTTCCTTTATTTCATTCTTTGTAGCTTATTATTCTTAGTAGCTTATATTCTCTGAGTACTCTTGTATAGTTTAGTATATATAAGTGTATAAGATCAGACTGGTCCTGTAGTCTTGATCTTGTCTACTCTAGGTAGTTCTGTACTCTTAGGCTTACTCTATATACTCTACTCTTGTCTCTCTCTCTCTCTCTCTCTCTGTTCTGTGAGTTCTAACTATGTTTTAGTACTTACATTCTGTATTTCTGTTGTGTAAGATAGTTGTAGCCTAGGTCCTCTTACTGAGCCTTCAGGTCCCCTCTATACTGTTACTAACATCAGATTAAGACTCCTTATTACTACTCTACAACTCTCCTACATTTTGGGCATTAGTACTTACTGTTGTGTTAATCTCTTTTCTTTGTTCCAACCCTTTTACATTTTTAAATTTTAAACTTTCTAAACTCTTTTAAACTTTTACCACTCTTCTTCTATTCATTACCCCTTTTAGTTTAGTACTGATTCCTTTGTAGTGTAAACATAGACTCTCCTATACTAACTGCTACCCCTACTGTCCTACTGGATTAGCAGTTATAAGTAAATCTAGCTTAATATGTGTAGACCTCTATCTAAGAGGCTTTTACTAACTATATACCTCCAGCCCTCTCAGAACCTGTTCTGATTGTTCTAGAAGTTGTAACCTGTTCTAGAAAGAAAGTGTATATAGTCTACTCTTTAGACTTTAATAAGTAGCACTTTAAAGACTTCTAGTGTTAAGTTGAACTATATGTAGCTACTACTTTGACTAATCTATCCTCAGACCTTAATTGTATCTTATTTGTCCTCTCTTTCATGAAGGAAGGTAATACAACTATCTAGGCCTAGAACTGGATTGAAGGACATTAGATTGAAAGCCTGATTCAACTTCAGAACAATAAGTTGTATTTAGAATTTATAAGGTAACTCTGTACTTCCTTTATTAATCTGAATAAGAAGTGTAATGTGTAGAACAAGCTTGTGTCTCTGTAATAAGACAAACATTCTACTAATACCTTCTTTCAGGAGTTCAATATCCTAGCCTGAAAGGTAGGATTTGTACTTGAGTTTAATAATATCCTTATTAGAATGCTTGAAAAAGCTCTTTACTCAGAACTAGTTAATAAGATTCTTAGAATAATGTTAGAACTGATTACTTATACTAATTAGAAGACACATACTATTTCCTTCAACCAAGCTGTAGTTCAGATGTATTAAGTCTGTACAGAACACTCACACATACATTTAGCTCTAACAGTTCTAAGTTCTTAGATTAATCTGCCTATAATTTGTAATCAATCTGTTCTGATAAACATTAGAGAAGCCTAAAAGTAAGGAGTATACTTTACCTGTAGAAAGTCAGAGTACTAAATTAAGGACTGCCTACAGAAGTAATAGTATATCTGTCAGGTTATTAGAGTAATAATGGGTAATGAGCAGGATTTGTAACAAGAAGTCTTTTCTACAAATCTGAAAGTTACCTTAGAACTCTTAGACTCTGACTATATACTCTAGGATTTTATAGAGACCTAATAGTGAATATGGTACTAAAGGCTAAGTAGTAAACAGGACTAAGTAGTGTTCTAAACATTCTGAGTTTTTAGAATGTAGAAGTAGTAGGTTAGATTGTACAGATTTAGACTTGGATAAAGTGTGAAGAGAAGAATCAAAAGAATCAGAAGAAATAAGAGAACTATCTACTTTTGTTTTAACTTTTTCTTTTTAATAAATAATTTTGTTGATTTACTTTTTCTACTTTTTCTACTTTTCTTACTTTATTTACTTCTAATCCTACAGTGTCTATTAAATCAAAAGTAGCTGTTAAAAAATCTGAGTCATAACTAGTTTGTCTGTAGTATTAAGTAGGAATAGTCTCAGCTGAGTTTACAGTTGAGGACATGAGTCTGTCCTTGTTGAAAGAGAGAGGTTAATAAGGAAATGTTAGTATATATACTTACTCTCTTAGATGACAAGGTTGTACAAACTGTATGTTCTCTTTAGAACAAGTAGTAATTTATTAGAGAATGTTCTAAACACTAGCTCTAGGTCCCTATCCTCTTAGCTCCCTTCTTAGAATCCTCTCAGATCTGAACAATAACTCTAGTAGACAGTAGATACACTAGTTTGTGTATTAATAAGACTTTTATGTAAGAGTACTACCTTTCTACTTAATGTGTTCTACTTCTGATCCTAGTATATAATGTAGACAGAACCTTAAACCAGAATAGTCAGATTACTAAGTTTGTTCAACTATGGATGACCATTTAGGATTATAAGAAAAGTATCAAGTTTAGAGTTACTAACCTTAGAAAGACAGACATCTTTATTAGATTCAAATAGCTTAAAGCTTACAACCCTACTATTAACTAGTTAGAGTAGACACTCACATTTGATCAGTGTCCTAAGTCTTGTAACTATTTTACACTACTGTTCTGAGTAAATGTGAATACTTCTAATGTTACTAACAGTTCTAATAAAGGTGACTAGTTGTTTTTCTTTAACTAGAATAAATATGTAGACACATCCTCTAGTCAAGACAGAACAATGTTGATTTAAAGAATGTCTAAGACAGAACCAGTCTAGAACCACCTTAGAACAACTCTACTCTAGAACACATATAGACCCAGCCTGCTGGATTTTATCTAAGAGTTTTCTAAAGTCTTTAGTAAAGAGGAATTTAACTAGCTTTTTAAACATTACTCTTAGAACTATATAATTAAATTAACTAAGAGTTTCTAACCTAAGGATTGTAAGGTCTACCTACTCAACAGAGATGAGTAGGAGGCACTCAATGAATTCCTTCAGGAAAATTTTTAGAATGGCTGAATCTGACCCTTAAAGTTCTCTATAGCCTTCCCTTTCTTCTTTATTAAAAAGAAAGATAGGAAGCTCTGTCTAGTTTAGGATTATTATTGTCTTAATAAGGGTACTGTCAAAAACAAGTACTTACTCCTCCTGATTCAGGAGCTTATTAATAAGATGTATACATTCAGAGTTTTTACTAAGTTAGATGTTTGATAGGAGTACAATAATATTTGGATCTAAGACAGAAATGAGTGGAAGACTGTATTCTAAACTAATTACAGATTGTACAAACTAATCATAATGTTCTTTAGACTAACTAACTTGCTTACAATGTTCTAGTCATTCATGAATTACATTCTTACAGATCTGATTGACTTAGAGTATGTTAGTATGTATTTGGACAATATTCTGATCTTTACTCAGATAGTTAAGCATTATTACTAACTAATCTAAGTAGTTCTATAGTAGCTCTAAGATAATAAACTGTTCCTCTAAGAAGTAAAGTGTTCTTTTGTACAGGAGTTAGTAGATTATCTAGGCTTTGTAATTGGTAGAGGAGAGGTCTGTATAAATCTGACAAAGGTAACTGTAGTTTAGAACTGGCTACAATCTTAGAACCTGAAACATGTCTAAGTGTTTCTTAGGTTTACAAACTACTACTAACACTTTATTTAAGACTTTAGTACTATTGTCTAGCCCCTTCACAATCTTACTAGTAAAGATGTTCCTTAGTAATAGAGTAATTAGTAGTAGTCTGTGTTTGAGTCCCTCAAGTAGACTATTACTAGTAAGCCTGTATTAACAGTTCTAATAGTTGTGAACAAGTTCTGAGTTAAAGCTAACTCTTCTAACTTTACAAATAGAGTAGTACTGTCCTAGTTTATTAACAGAAAGTAGTGTCTGATAGTGTTCTGATTAGAATCCCTCTCTATAACAGAACAGAACTACTCTATTTATAATAAGGAACTTCTTACAATTGTCTGTTCCCTAGAGGAGTAGTGTTAATATCTCCTTAGTACTATACAAAAGTTTAAGATTTAGAGTGATCACCTTAATCTCTAGTACTTCTAGACACCTTAGAAGCTCAACTACTGTCAGACTTACTGAATGTTAGAACTGTAGGACTACAACTTTGTACTAACTCACAAACTTAGAACACAAATGACAAAAGCTGATTTACTCTCAAAACAAGTAGATTATGAAAGAAGGGAGAATGATAACAAAAATCTTGTTCTCTTAGACAATTCCTGTTTTGTGTCTAAGACAATCTGAGAGATCTGACTCAAATCTAAGAATGTTAACTTTGTCACTTATATATAGTAAGCTCTAAGACACACACAGGACTAGGTTGTAGTAAAGTAGCTAAAGAAGTAGGCTAGGAATTAGGAGGAGGATAAGAATAGACAGGTTTACTAGAAAGGCTGACTGTACATTCTGAAGGATCAGAAGCTGTAAGAGGACATTGTCTGAGCTCATTACAACAATCTGACTGTAGAACATTTAGACTGACACAAAATGTAGAAACTTATTACTTAGAACTACTAGTAGTTAAGAATGTAAAGAGAAATCCTGAAGTATATAACTAGTTATAATATGTGCTAACAGACTAAGGTCTACTAGACAAGAGTTTAGACTCTTCTATATCTGTATTAGATTCTGAATCACTCTTAGGAAGAAGTCTTAGTAAACCTGATTAGTAAGTTACCTAAGTCTTAGGGTTATAACACTATCTGTGTAATTGTCAACTAATTCTCTAAGCAAGTCTATACAGTTCTAACCTAAACAGAACTCACTTCTAAAGGTATAGTACACATTTATTAGAATCATGTCTTCTAGTTGTACAGACTCTCTCAGAAGCTCATTCACAATTACAGACTATAATTTGAGTTGAAATTTATATAGGACTTGTACACACTTCTCAGAATTTAAGGGAACCCCTCTACTACATATTACTTACAGACTAATAGTTAAACTAAGTAAGTCAATCAGGAGATTGAGCTCTATCTCTAAATGTTCATTAATTATTAGTAGTCAGACTAGTCTGAATAGTTAGCTCTGACAGAATTTGTATACAATAACTAGTAACACTCTATAACAGGACAATCTCTGTTCTTCCTTAACTATAAGAGACATTTGTATTAGAGGACAGTTCTGAACTAGAACAGTAGTTCTGAATCTGTAACAGACTTTGTAGAATGGATGTACAAGACTAGAGAGAATACACAAGCTCTTTTAAAGAGGGTAGTGTAGGTTATAAAGTAGAACTATAATTGGAAGAGATTTACAGCTAAGGATTACTAGCCTAGTAACAAAGTTATACTAGAAGCTACTAATCTGACCACAGATTGTCTAATGAAGAAGTTGGACAACAAGTGCTTCAGACCCTTTATTATTAAAAAGAAGGTTAGTATCTCTACCTACAAACTTTAACTTCTAACAACATAGAAGTATATACACTCAGTGTTTAACAAGGTACTATTATCTTAGTACTACAATCTAGGTTTTCCTTCACAACAAAGACCCCTACTACCTTTACTAGAACTTATTAGTTCTGAACTAGAATATAAAGTAGAGTATGTAGTAGATACTAAGCTGGTACATAGGAAGCTCAAGTTCCTTGTTTACTAGAAAGGGTACTCAGTTGAAGAACACACTTAGGAACCTACTAAGAACCTTACCTATACTCTTAAGACAATCTGAGACTTTTATCAACTTTATCCAGGTACTCTATACTAACTCTACCTTATAGATTTCTAAACCCTACTATTCTGACCTATACTTAAGCTATTAACTGAGCCTAATGTTTACTAATCAGGATGATTAGTTTTAGAGGGAGGGTGATGTTACAGTTCTCTACTCTTACACCTTTAGTTCTAAGGGTTCTACACCCTTCTGTACTGGAACTTGGGACTTCTGTCCCTTGAGAGTACTGTTTATAAACTATATACAGACTGACTCTTACTATTACCCCTCCTTACTTCATCATTCTGTTCCTTTGACCACTCTTTCATTCTCTGTTCATTCTATAGTCTCTTACCCTTTGTCTATCCCTTTATTCTTTGTACCTTTATCTTTGACCTTCCTTTATTTCATTCTTTGTGGCTCATTATTCTTAGTGGCTCATATTCCCTGAGTACTCTTGTGTAGTTTAGTATATATAGGCATACAAGATTAGACTAGTCCTGTAGTCTTGATCTTGTCTACTCTAGGTAGTCCTGTACTCTTAGGCTCACTCTATATACTCTACTCTTGTCTCACTCACTCTCTCTGTCTGTTTTACAAGTTCTGACTATGTTCTAGTGCTTACATTCTGTATTTCTGTTGTGTAAGATAGTTGTAGCCTGGGTCCCCTTACTAAGCCTTCAGGTCCCCTCTATACTGTTACTGACAAGCCTCCTATTCAATCAGATTCAAATCACTAACACTAGGGTCCACTAACTAGAGATGCAATTCGAAAAAAGTCCTTTATTTAGTAATCATTGTATGGATTTGATTAAGCAAATTACTAATGCTAGCATTATTGTAGTAATACTTGTAAGGGTTAGCAAGTTTTGTTTTTGACTCAAGAAATGTAAATACACTAATCTGCTTGTTTGCACTGGACGTTTGCAGAACTATTTTTGTAGCAGTTTGAACCCTTTATAAGGGAAGTGTGAAAGAAGTGAGATGCTCTGCTAGTCTTGGCTGCATATATAAGTAATATCCTTGTAGATGAAGTTTGAATTTCATGCAGACCACAAGATAATGGCAATGCGTTTCGATTTCAAATACTGATAGTGCATTACGAACATTGGTGAAACACTGCAATGTTACTATTGTTCCAATGTGTTATACCTGGCTAAGCAATAGTATTCATTCAATCACTGTATGGAAAGGTACAGGAGACAATAAGTCAGCAACATCTTGTTATTCCAAAAAAAATGCGATAAAAAATGCAAAGCCGAAAGGTATATAAAGAGCAGAAAACTTGACCTCGAAATCCATCACTTGAGTGTACGTTCAAGAGAAAAGACAGTCAACGATTCGACACTACAATGCCGTCTGCAAAGGACAATTTCGCAAGCGTAATGAAGGACAAATGGGCGTCCTTGCCTCAGGACTTAAGAAACCAGTTGTTGCAGATTTCGCGACAGACAGAAGATAAGAGTAAGTTATTTGATCATGTATTTCTTGGATGGAACATTCGGAGTTTGACTATATCTACATCATATTATTAAGCGAATGCCTTGAAATTGACTAAATTTCATGTCCACTCAAATGGCACTATCGACTATCGTGCTGAATATGGAGGTAACTCACAGGAAGATAGTAAGGATCTGGAGGGGGTTGTACAAGATTTGATTGCATTCTTGTCGAATGAATAAAGGAACTTCGGTAGTAATAAAGCAAATAGTTGCTGTTTGACAATTAACGTTGTCTGATATTAGAAATTGAATAAATGAAAAAAAAATACCTTGCTCGGGAAATAGATCATTAACGCTGATTATAGCACTTCTCGTGTCATACCTGCTTTCTCAAGCTGGAAATAACTCGGCTATTCGTGGCACATAATTTCGGTGCAGGTCAACAGCAGTGAGAAAACGGCCACTTTCTTTCGTTAGATACTTTACGTCCAATTAGAAAACGAACTTACAGTGAGTCACGAGCAAGAAACTCGGCCATTGTCCACTGTCCAGTGTGCATGACATCCGCAAGCCCAAATATGAATTGACCCATGAGCGAATATGTTTTACCTAAGTAAGCCGAAGAGATGGTAGTCATAAGGTCGGACTCAATGAGTCACAAACTCACAATGAATGATAGAGAGGGCAAATAGACCTATAGACCTTCTCGAGGAGACGAAGAAGACTATCTGCATCTCCGCCCATCCTTGTATTTCCTCTAAGCCTTGACAAGACAGCTTGGTGAGTAACGGTGTATTAATCCACCAGAACATCTTGACATACCCATTTCGTCATAGACCTACCTGATATGGTATGCCGATCAATATCAGTGTTTCAAAATAATTTCCCACGTGACTTGCTGGATCCTGCCATCATCATCTCTGCTAGGCATTCCCTTTCACCTGGTAAAACCCTGGGACGTGGATAGCCAACATGCCGCCAAAGAACAAAGATAAAGGAGGAGGAAGCCAGAAGGCCGCCGTCGACAAGGCGAGTAACATAATATATCTACCAGCAGCACAAAAGGGCTCACGTAGATTCCACAAACAGACCTTCGGCATGAAGAATGTACGTCGTTCGCCACATCGCCAACGCATCGTCCTGGCCTGACGACACTCATAATCACAATACTTCCCGGAATACAACTCAATATATCCACCACAGAAAAACAGATCCACAAAAGTCCAAAAACAGGTCGCCGCCATCCAAGCGCAGGCCGCAACCGCTGGCAAGTCCCGCGCAACGCTCGAGAAAGAAAAAGAAAAGGCTCTTCGAGAAAAACAAAAAGCCGAGGAAGAAAAGCGCGCCCGCGAGACCGCCGCATTACTGAAACCCGTACAAACGCAAAAAGTTCCGTTCGGCGTTGACCCCAAGACGGTTTTGTGTGCATTTTTTAAGGCGGGAACGTGTGACAAGGGAAATAAGTGTAAGTTTAGTCATGATCCGAATGTTGGGCGGAGGGTGGAGAAGAAGAACTTGTATGAGGATACGAGGGAGGACAAGATGAAAGGTGTGTTGCAGTTTGCTTGGTGCGGCACGTTATTTACGTATATGTTGCAGATACAATGGAGAATTGGGACGAGGAGAAGTTGCGGTCTGTCGTACTCTCGAAACATGGTAACCCAAAGACCACAACGGATGTAGGTCCACTTAGCCACTTCCTCACATCATATCCTAAAAATTATCTTTCAGATTGTATGCAAGTATTTTATCGAGGCAATCGAGACTCAGAAGTCTGTATTGAGCACATTTCATTCCTGGCGCCTGCTGACTTAACCAAACGCTCCATATCCATAGATTCGGCTGGTTCTGGGAATGTCCTAACGGAGGCGAGAAATGCCAATACCGACATGCCCTTCCACCAGGATTCGTGCTCAAATCACAGAAGAAAGCAGCTGAAGAGGCCGCAAAAGCGAATACCATCAGTCTAGAAGAGTTCTTGGAAGTTGAGGTTAGTTGTGGCTTCTACACATTTCCATTAACTTATTTATAATTGTCGATTTTTACCCTTGGTATATTGTTTTTCTTCAGCGTCATAAGCTAGGCTCGAACTTAACACCCGTCACTCCTGAGTCGTTTGCAAAATGGAAGACAACACGGATGGATAAGAAGAAAGCTGAACAAGAAGCTTTGAAGAAAGCAAAGGACGTACAAGCCGCCGCGGGCAAGAACACAGGCATGAGTGGACGAGATCTCGTACGTTTCCTTCATTTCTTTCCTCATTTCCCGCCTGTCTGACCGTCACCTTTTTAACGCGTGATCCTAACTTGTTTTTCTGGTATACAGTTCACCTACAATCCAGAATGGTTCGCAGACGAAGACGACGAAGGGGAAGACGAATGGGATATCGAGAAATACAGACGAGAAACCGAAGCGGAGCATGACGCGACGGAAGCCGCTCGGATTGCTCACTTTAATATTCAGGATGAGGGTTACCGAGAAAGTGATGTCCCGGAATATTAAGCCATACGTCAGCCGCATTGTCATGTGTAGAATATGCATATGCATCGCGACTTTATGAGAAGACAAGATCGAGGCAAGGATATGGAGAAGGACGTTGTCCAAGGACACTTGTATCACCTTCGGATATTGCATTGCAAATATTTTATTTTCGTTCACTTCAGCATGTGTTGTCTTTCCAATTGAGAAGTCTAAAGAATAAAAACGAAAATAATAATAATAATGAAAGTCCAAACGAGAGGAAACGAAAACAGAAACTGACATCTACAGTGAAAAAGGTTTTTCAGACCTTCGTGTTGCTGCTCTAACTTTGTAGATGCATAGATAAAAGTCGCGGGAGATTAATACTGAGTTACTGGTGCAGTAAAATAAGCCATAATACAATTTATAGTGCATATTTGGCATAATGCGATGAGATCTTCTATTACAAAATTGGGATATGTGGTTAAATTGTATTTGATAATACATAAAACACATCATACATCCGATACGGTCTTCCCCCAACATTATGTATTATGACATATATTGCTGTAATCATCGATGCAATTGATGGACAATGTGGCTTTCTCGACTTCGTTGTGGGACATTCTGTCTGTCTCATCAGTTTCATGTGTCAATCATCTCCACCGTTCTTGATCGTGTTTAGGTCCCGGTGTTTGATGCCGCAGAAGCAATCTCCGGAAGGAATGTATTTACCCTGCCTCTTGGACACGATGTACGCACAGCCCACGCCATCAATCCGGTCCTTCCTTTATAAGGTCCAGCTCGTCCAGTGCACCTTTTAGGTTCCTTTACACGCTCTCCTCTGATGTCAAACAAGACCCTTAATTACGGTGATGCAGATACGATCTTCACCCGCTCAGATGCTATAGGCCCAGATGAACTGGCAAGCCTAGTGAAATCCTTTGTCTACTATGTAGTCATTGCACAGTACTTGAATGTAGCACTGTTGGCTGTCTTAGTCTATCACACTCGTTCGTACTATAATTTCTTGCCTTGCATGGATCTTCCACAAAAACTGACATACACAACATTTCAAGTCATAACAACGGATAAACAAGTATGCTGCCTTAGTAATTATCTATTCAAGCATCCGATCTAACTTGCGTCTTTACAGGTAAAATATTTCTGGGTGAGCTTAATACTCCTTTATACATGTCCATCACTCATTGATAGGAACAAAGTCCAAGCGATGCAACTCGATTAGTCTGATTTATTTTACAGCAAGTGCTATCAAAGTGTAGTATCCAGGCATATTCTAACTTCGATTTTCAGAACCTTTGTGCTGGACTCCTCGGAATAATTTGTTATATACTTTGTAAGGAAGCCAAATAATTCACAGAAGTGGTGGAGGTAATTAATGCTGGCATATTACTATAGCTTATGACTTCAAACAAACTCTTTTAAGGTGAAAGATAGATAACGAATGTAATTGATGATGCACACTGACATCAAAATTAACATGCTTGTATTTCAGTTGTGTGTAATGCTCCCAACTATTTATACTTTCTATTGACTAAAAACGCCAGGCCGTGCAATGTATTGGACTACTGATATATGCTGTGAGGAGTTCATTGTAGTTCATAATGATTCCAACTTAACCCAGACATCAGACATACTTACAGTTGGTCTTATAGACTGTAAGAATATACTTTCACTATTCAAAATGATGTTGTATCTACTTAAATATTTTACAGATATTCTCCAAATTCGAGTATTGGCACTTTACCAGCAAAGTAGGTATACTAATTTGCTGAATAAATTCTCATCTGATTTTGGCAGACAGAAGACTTTCAATCTGTCTGAAGGCACTTCTTGGTTTAGAAGTAAGCATTGCTCTCGGTTTTGTTATTTATAATAATTGGTTTGAAGAGTGTAAGACTGTCTATTGAATTTTATTATTATTTTGTCTTGAATTAAAAGGCTGAAATATGATATAATTTAGTTGTTGTTGTACAAATTACACAACACATTGAAGCTTGTGGTATAAGAAGAATTCCTTCCAACATGTTATTAGACATTATATGGTGAGCATTATTGCATTGTAATGTACATTAGTTTCTTATAATACTATCCAGGATTGTTGCTCTAATATATGGAATGATTCTTCTTTGTCTTGTTCTCTTCAAGGCAACCAAATACTGGAAAATGTTGTCCAATTTCAAGGGCTTCCATCTAGTAAAGGTCCTCGTTCAAGACCAGGTTATTTACTCTTGCTTGTAAGTGAGATCGTGTGTAATAAATACTCTAGTTAACTCAAGTTGTGGCAGCATGATGTCTTGTTGCATACTGCGAATAACGTCTAACCAAGTTATGGATACCAACTTCTTTATTGCATCCATTTTGGCTTCAGTTGGACATCCAGCCCTTCTCTGTATCCTTGGAAGCCACCTCTTGATCAATCTGAAAGAGGTAGGCGAGAGAGGGGTAAATGATGCGATCAACTACCAATTGACAACTATCACTGGCGTTGAGTTTAATACAGGTACCTTTGCTCATGCTAGATATCTTAGACACAGCTAATTTTTGTTGCAGACGCTCCTGCAGCTGTAGACACGAACGAGGAAGGCACATCCATCGTATGATAACGTTTGCTTGTCTCCTGTTCCGAGCTAGATACCATTTCGTTTATAATATTAACTATATATTCTCATCCCGTAGCTTGTAGTGTCCTTTATTGCATTTCAAAATTAGTGAACTGTAAATTATTATAAAGTATTTCGGCACCTATTAACTAGATTTAGTTCACTTGATGTTTTAATTGCTGGAGTGGGACAAAGTCCAAGGACGTTTGCTTTACCTTCTAGATACTCATTGTCAGTGTTCCATTTTCATGCACTACAGCATACATTGCCTTTCCGATCGACATGTCATTAGTCGAGAAAGATAAAACTTAAACGAGAGGAAAGGAAAGCATAATTCCAACATCTGAAATCTTTAATCGCACCTCGGACCGCATCAGGAAAAAGTCAGATTTCTTGTAATTTCTTATAGACTTTGTAAAGCAACATATGTATTGTATATACATTATAAAGTAATTGTAAGAATTGTAATTGAATTGTAATGTTTAAATAAGACATATTAATGTATATAAAGACTACATAAGTACTAGGGATGAATAAAATCTATTACATGTATTATACTAACTTTGTATGACAACCTAAAGTGTTATGCCTGTATTATATTTAAATTATAATCTTAAAGAAAGAGTTATATTTATAATATAATAATGTAATAATTACTATTGTTGCCTTATAATTTATACAAAAGGTATATTAATGTATATAATAGTGTAAGAGCACTTGTTATATCATTATTATCTTAATAAAAGTATACTATAAGTATATAATATGTATATTATACTTAGATTATTTATACAAGCAGTTTACAATTATTGTAAAAGGCATTTCATCTACTTGTAATAATTACATCAGTGTGTTTAGAAAGCTATATACATGTCATATTACTTTTTACTATATTACAAAGTAGATCAATAAGTTTATTTTATACCTAAATACAATAATTGAAATGTTCTATCAGTTGACGACTCATATTATAGTTGCTTACGTAATCAACTGCTGAAGATCGGGAGCATATAATGACGCATTTCTCTTCGTCACTCCTTTACCTCCTACCTTCACCGTCTCCCCAACCCTCTGCCCCCAACGCTATGTCGTCGCCTCTGTTCTCTCTAGTCGAGTCCTCCGCTCGCAAGCGTCCTACCGGCAGGCACTCTGCCTGCAACAACATAGGCAATAAACATCACTGCACTTGTCTCTCCAATCTGCTGCTGCAATGCCCGCGCTGGGCCTCAGATCTCGCAATGATGCCACCGAGCTGACTACACTGTCCTTCAGCGTAAAGTGTAAGCAGCCAGTCCACTCCATAATAGCCTGCACAACAGTTGCTCATCCCTCTCCTCCCAACTTTTTTGTCTCCCTTCCATCCCTCCTGCTCCTCGCTCCACGTCTTGTGTTGCCCCTCCTTCGTTGTCTTCCTTTTTTTACACTCGCCTTCCTGTTTGCATTTGCATTCGCGCATCCACATTGTTGACCAATGCCGAACGACTTCTTCAATAATTCCACACATTCGTGTACTTCTTCCCGCTCCGCAGCGCAAGCAACAATCGACGAGCACACGCTCGCGACAATGTCCCTGTACGATTACTCCCATCGTGCCACCCTCTCTCTCACCCGGTACGTGCTTCTTTCCCCGCCCATTCAATGTTTGACATCACTTTCGATAGGCCACACCGTGTGCATTTGCATTCCTC